TCTTACGGCTTATCCGTCGACTCCGTTTCATGGGCTGGGGTACCAGTTTTCCTAAAAATAGCACAATGTTCATCGCGTCCGCACTTTTAGCCCAGTCCGTGCTTCCCCCGGACAGCCCCCCCCCCCCCCCAATAAAAAAAAAAGAGCTGAGCTTTTGTCCGGGTTTGTGAAAAAAGGGAGCTTTTGTCGGAAGACGTTTTGTCCAATAAACCCTACGTCCGGTGAGCTTTTGTCTGGTGAGTATTTTATTTGCTGCCCTCAATGAAACCCCAGAATGAAAATTCAAAACACGAAACTCTATTAATAATGTTACACAGGCGAGACGTCAGTCAACTCTTCATGTCTCGATCGTGACGCTGCTTCAACTTTGTAAAGGAGCAATTTAGCCAGAATAGAAATTGTTGCTAACTTTGGGTGGTGTTTAACCATCATCATGGAGTAGTAGCCCACGGCCAGAAACCTGCGCGGAGCCTATCCATTTTCAAATGGTGCAGTGTGAGCGCCTTTGGTCCCTGATAGCTATTGATGCATTTCTTGGCAGCTGCAGTGCGCTAACACACTCGACTGTTCCTTTAGCCAAGGGACCTCCAACCGGACCCCTTTCGTCATGGCCGTACTCCGCGCTCTCGGGATCGAACTTTTCTGGGTGTTGGTGGTGACCTTCGCCTACTACGGCTGCCTCGTTGTGAAGATACCCATTTTGGAGTAAGTTGCCGAAATTCTGGATAACACTCGACGTAGCGCTGCGGTGATCGTGCGAATCTTGCGCTGGTGTTAACTTAATATTTTCAAGCTGGGTTTTGATTATTTTGTTTAAAAAAATGACTTGTGACGTAAGTTTCTATATATATATATATATTATTTTATCGAAGCATCGCCTTGCATAACATTATAGGAAAGGAGCGGACATAACTCAAGCCCCGACCTGGGCGCCCCTAGCGCCAAACATATCCATTTCATTTGTAGGTCCTTTTTAGCTGCTGCATCCAGATTACGTTCACTTAAGATTCGCGCCAAGGAAAAAAAACGCTGAATTTGTAAGAACCTTGGCTCCCATCGTAATAACGACGTGCATACTAGGCCCGCGCAATTCGCCCCCATTTCTTCCCGACGAGTAGGCGGCGACAACCGCTAATTTTTTTCAGAGAGCCTTTATTACACAGAATTTCCAACTGCTTGATCTGGTCACATGGTTTATGAACCGCGTTTCCAATGCGAGCTACAGACGACGAATGCGCACTTCAGACCAATCTGCGATGGAGGCGTCCCCCATTAAACTCCAAACGGTCCCCATGGTCTGAGTTGAACCCTCTCTGCAATCTAGGCTCTCTACGAACAATAGGCGACACCGCCGGCGTGCTCTTTTCCCAAACTCCATTCACCCTTAAAGAAGCACTGACGGGCAAAACATTTTTTTTTTAATTATCCGAAACGATTCAAAAAAGATGCCTGTGCCTTACCCTCAAAATTTGAAGCTTGGAAATTCAGTATTTTCAAGTAAAAAAAAAAAAAACAATTTTCAAAAGTCCGATTTGAAGTTCCGGCGGGATCCGCGCCAGTGCACTGACGCCAAAGATTGAGTCGGCCTGCATCTCGAGTTTCTCGCATGCCTCCGTGTCGTGTTCGCCCGCGTCCCGTGACCAACAGCTCCGTGCGTGCCGCCAATCGCTGCGAGCAGACGGCCATCACTTCCGAGTTTGAAGTTCTTTTGGGGCTCCTTCAGCGACCTTAAATTCTTTGAAACTGCGTGAGGTCAAAGAGGACGCTCAGTGGACTTTTGGGAGCGACGTGAAGGGCCACGTCACGCCGGCTCTGCGTGAAAGGCTGTCCCGGCGGAGTCAGATCCGAAACTACGTTACACAGACAAGAAACCCAGTTGTTTCGACAATTTGGCGATTTTCTCTTCGAAGTTTGAGAGGTCGTCGGGGACCTAAAAAAGATAACTCCGTCAAATTACCCGGATCACCGATTATCCTTAGTGCTACATGCGTCGAGTGTCACCATGTTTTTCGAGGTAGTATAAAAATCCAGAAGACGACATCACTCAGGTATCCAATTCGCAGTTCCATTCGCAGTTCCATTCAAAGACATGTTTTTTGAATGAGATTATTAAATATTATAGAAATGAGGGCTTACCGTTTACGTCACAAATAAAAAGAAGCGAGGAGATGAGGAACGCGAAAGAAGACTGCGAAGAATAAAAAAAAAAAAAAAGACGCGCGCGGTGAAAACAATTTTTTGCGTTCTGGCCCCTTTTTTTTTGCGTGTTTATGAGTACGATTTGCATGATTTTTGGCTACCAAACCGACAGGACTTTGGGGTGCCAGTGCCCCATTTAGCTTAGACTGCGACCAATTCCACAAGCGCGAGAACTCGAGGTTGCTGGTTTGAAGAGTTCTTCCCCAGTACGAGCACTTGCACTAGAAATACACGTTTTGAAGCCAGGAGCGCGCGCTAGCTTGCGCTTGTAACTTTGGCTGCAGTCTCAGCTTACGGGTGAAAGGAGCATAGGAAATTTGTTTTCGCTTCTAATATTTATGTTATTTCAGATACTTTTATGAGAGCTTCGATAGCACGGGGCTTTTCTGTGTAACGATGTTGGCTTAAGATTAGCACGGCGCTAGCTATGCATAAACGGATAATTTTATTTACCTCTTCTTTTTAAAGCTTCTCATACTGTGTTTTTTCTGTAAAACTTTTGAGGTAGCTTTTCGTATTTTAATGAACTCGTGACCCTGACATATGCTTTAAAGTTTTCCCAGAAAATTTTGATAGCAAGTCGCCATTATGCTGACGCGCTATTCTCAATGTACTGCTCTTTTAAATTGACGACAAGGTACTTGACTTATACTCCTCTATTCTTTAGCATAATAGTTGATCAATCTGGTATAATCATAACGAGGAAAACACAAAAAAAACGTTCATGCTGTGCTAGTGGCATATTCTAGATAAAATGTTTCGGCGGTCTTGCTTTGTTTTTTTTGTTTATGTTTTGTTGTTTTTTTTGTTTTTTTTTTAAGACGGCAAAGGGAATCTTTCTGCTCCCACAAGCGAGGGCCCACTTTGATGACATGAAGAAAACTATTGGAAAGCGTTATATGAAACTACCATCCCACAATTTGTTGCGTAGAATTTGACTGGCGCACTTAAGTTTGCTCGGTTTGCTCTGCTATAGCGAGTGGGAGGATAGTGTGGGTTGCGATGCAAAAAAAAAAAAAAAAAAACGGAAATTTTTTTTCTCTTATCTTTATTTATTCCATGACAAAAAAAAAAATCGATACTAAGAAACCCCATCAAGAAAGAAGTTTTTAACTCTGCAGTTTTCTCTGTGCTTGATCTTTGAGTTACCAACGACTTTACGCGTTCGGTTCATCGAGGCTGAAATTTTCGATTTTCACCGGGTGTTTTCCAACCTAATTTCATGGCTTCGTCTTAGGCGACCAGGTGCTGTGAACATTTGATTCGCTCAAGAACGCTGACGAGCGAACCTGCCGCCACAGCTTTCTTTTCTAGACGCTAGGTGCCGTTAGTTGCTCTAGAGTCACCAACTCTTGTGGACAACTATCTATAGCATTTCAAACGTAGGGACAAGTGAGCGTGCATAGCCTCGATTGGCGCTCACGGTACACGAGCACCAGTGCGAACTTAACTTTGAGGGCATAGCTAAAATAAAAAAAAGAAATGTTTACAACTAAATTACACAGAAGAGCTGTGGCTCTCAAGATTTCAATTCCCGCTATTTTGGTTTATATAGATTTGAGTATTTTTATGATTGGCTGCGTTGTATACATGTCAGGCATCAGTAAACCCTCTTTATTTTTCTGCAGGGGCCTGATAAGCGACAGCACCAGTTCGCAGATGGGCACTCTTTCTGTTCTTTTCATGGCGACCTGCGTTGGAGAAACACTTCTATCATGCTACCAGATGCATCTGTCTATGCGGCTTGGAGAGCAACTGCGATCATTGCTCCAGGCTGCGCTGTTCCAAAAGGTTGGACGTTCATTTGACTGCGTTTCGCTTTTTTTTTTTTTAACATAGTTTTGTTTTTTGTTTATCTTGGTCCTAGTGTGTGTGCTTTTTTTTATTTATTAAAAGCTTCAAAAACAGATGGTTTAGAATAGCGTTTGTTTTGAGGGATTAAACATAGCGCTCAAAGTTACTTCCTCGGATGTTCTGTGACAAGAATCAGAAATACACACGTTGATCCGTGATATGCATGTGTAGCAGACTTCCACTGTGAGTTGCTAAGGTTTTAAAGCATATTTTGGGCCTGAGCTATTGCGCAGACCAATCCCAGGCAGAACGCCATAGAAATGCTTAACTTGGCCCACGCCTGACAATCGTAAAGGACTAACTGGGGCATGTAAGGTTTTGCTCCAAAGCGTTATTAAGTAGCAAGGTATGTTTTCTTTGGTTTCTTTATGGCTTTTCGCTAGTTTAGTTCACCACATGATTGCCGATGTGCCAGTTGTAGCAAGAAACACCACGCATCATTCAAACAACGCTTGGCTCAGCCCAACTCTGGCCTTTTCGATGCAATATTGGCACGAAGTTTCTAGGTGACCACAAAAAAACTAAAAAGAATCCTTATTGTGGCGTTTACCCGTTAACATGGGGTCGAAATATAGGCGAAAACGAAAAAAAAAAAAACCAGGCTGTGAAGCATAACTATTGCCCTTGTTTGGAAATTTAGGGCCGAAATAACCAAACTCACGGGAGATAATTTAAAGATAGGTTGCACCTTGACATTCGATCATAGGTTTTCAGGGCCCTAAATGTTCCAGACAAACCCAAATTTTTGTTAAAATACCGTGCTTTCAGGGATGTTGCTTATACTAGGTTGTACATGTTATTAGGCAACCTTAGTTTTTGAATGTACTTTTAGTAAGCCTGCACATCTCATAAAGAAAGCGCATGTTATCTTCAATGTTTCCTCCCAGACTACTCGACTGTCGCCGACCTCACGGGCCGAGTTTACTGCAGGACAACTATTGTCCATGATGGGTTTGGACACTATGATGGTTGCGTTCGGCATCCTACAGCTTCCTATGCCCATCGTCGGAACCATCTGCTTGCCGCTCATCTTCTTCATGCTCTCGACGCGTGTGGGAGTTGGACCCACCGTCTCGTGCGCCACCTGGCTTCTTTTCGTCCTCCTGTTGCCCTTTCTGACATCGAAGATACAAAACGCGCAGTGGGTAAGCAACACAGCACAAATAAAGCCAGCTAAGCTTTTCTACAAAAAAAGAATATACAATATTTGATATAGTGATTAACTGAATTCCTAGTGTTAACGAAACGGAAAAAAAAAATCAACTTATCATGAAATCGACTGCAGGGTGTGGTGAACATATGATTCTCCCAGCGGCCGAAAGGAGTACGTCCAATGCTTCATGACTAAAGTGTCACAATCACCATGTAAACTGGCAGCAGCACCAGACTGGCAAACACTGGCTGAAGTTTGAGAAATTGCAGTCTTAATAAAAAGAGGCTTACAGGAAGCTATGAAAGCACGTTAAGGTTTCGGTCTCATTAACGACTGAAGATCACGCTTGCAGATATTCAAAACATGCTCTGTATACCCTACAATTTGAGTATGTTTAGCATCTTCTTTCTTTCTAGCACCCTTCTAGTGCTGAAGTGCAAGATGACGTCACTACACGCATACAAATTGTGCTGCGCTCTGTAAGATTGTATCATATACTAATATAGTGACACGTAAAGAGTGGTAAATGATGCCTTGTCGGCGGTTCACCTGTTAGGACTCAGGACGTTCGCTACCTGGCGCAGTGGAGCCCTATTATTTATAACACAACATATTTCTGCCATTATGATAGAATTCTAGTTTAATTTACAGATTTCTATCATTATTTCTAGCCTCGAACGTTTTAAAAAATATTACGAGCACGTCTGGGAATGTGGGAAAACGCACGACGTGGCAGCGGCCATAACGACGGCCAAGGTGGCGAGGGGTGGATGCAGAGCGCTGTTGCTGCCGTCGTGCGGATTTCTCGTCGTTATTTCTCTCTGGGGAAGGGGACACGATTAAGGCGCAACCGCGTGGAGAGTGTTTTATATTTCTCTTGGGCGTCAGCTCCGTCGCCGGAAAGCTTTTCCTGTTTCCCATAAAGTCAAACTTGTTGACGATAGAGACACCAGCGTGTTGTCTTAAACGACACTTTCACTTCGTTTAAAGAAGGGGTCTCCAAAATCCCTGACCGCGGGCCACACCCGGGTCGCGAATGTCTTCCGTCCGGCCCGCGGCTGCCTGCAGTCTTTCCATTGATATCCAGCCCGCGGCTCGCTTCCAGCAGACCCGCTGCTAGCGTTGCAAGAGAGCACGCAATCAAAACGGCGCCGCGACGCGCTTCAAATGCGCACACGAAGATACCGGCAACAACGAGGTAAAATGCAACGTAATACAGGATACCTCGCTATAATATTGATTAAACATTGTCATCAACAGAATTATTATTCTTAGCCCGTTGCTTTACGTATGTGTAACTGTAGGTCTGATCGACTCTGCTAAACTGGATGAACTAGTTCAGCAGCGCAGTATCTGACGCTTCTGATTCAATCGGAAGTTGCGCGGCCGCAGCAGTGGCGCGTTACATTCATCCCAGTCCCTAACGAATGGAGACTCTGTTCCTCAAAATATTCCACCGGCTTCGAAGTCAGTTCAGCGTCCGTGCAGAATGCAGAGGGAAACCACGAGAGCAGACGACACTCGGGGGGCCATTCCTCGGAGCTCTTGCTAAAATGTCTGGCATGTTTAACAATAACGTATAGACGGAGTTAATATTTTCTTTCATTAATAAAAACAATGTACCTCTTGCGTACTTGGAAGCAAGATCCTAACGGAGGGTAGAAATATACTCGAATATAATATCACCTAAGCGCCTTACGCACCTGCTCGCGCAGGTTTGGCTCCATGAGGTAAGTGTTGAAACATTGTCTCACGTAAAGTGTTTCTTTTTGACGCAACGAGGTACTGTATTCATATTCTTCTTAAAGTACACAGGAAACGCATTGGGCTACACTCTTGGTAAGCCCGCCCCCCTTCGGCAGGCCTTAAGCGCACACTGGCGACTCCGACACATTGCAGGGGTCTTCGATTTAGTGAATTGAAACTATAATGTCCCCGTAGCTGAATATAATACTGCATGCTTTGTTGGCTGCTCTCTGTGGATGCCCATTAAGAGGCCTGGAAAAAAAAAACGCCAAGAATCGGCATTGGCTTGCTTGTTATACTTGTTAATGAGCGCGTTGGTAATCATTTAAGTTTAGAAAGAATTATATACGTAAAGACAGGGGACGGCACAACACATCTTTACTCTTTCAACAAACAAATGATTTATTGCCGGGCGCTTCGCCTTCGGAACTCCACAATAGGAAAGAAAAATTTAAAAGGAGGGAGAACGGGAAGGAGGGGGGCAAGACAAGGCCCCGGGAGAAAACCTGGGGGAAAGGAAACCGCAGAGACAGTGGGAAGGAGAGGAAGGGAGGAGGCGTCCCGATTTCCCTCTCAGGAGCAAGGACCACTCGCCCGGCCTGCAAAGGTCGTCAACTCGGGTCTCAGAAATGTCACCTCTCTCTCCGACAGCGACAACGAGGCCGACGAAATGTTCTTCGGCGCCTCTTTTATGGCGTACGCCTCCCCGATCTCGCGCCCGTAGCGGTTTTTGTTGGCCCCCAGAACACGCGCGGACGGGAACTCGGGGGCACAGGGAGCGCAAACCTTGAGTTGATGGACCATGGGGTGTTGGGAGTCCTCGTCGCTTCTTGCTATTTCTCTTTCATGCTCGCGCAGGCGGTCGTTGAGGCAGCGGCCCGTCTGCCCGATGTACTCCGCCCCGCACGAGAAGGGCACGGAATACACCCGTCCGACTGCGCAGAAAACAAAGGCGGCCGCGTGCCTCTTGGCGCAGTCGATCTTGGGAGGAGGGGGAGAGTCACCAGGCGGCACATTGCGCTCAACTTGAAGGGGCACAAAAACGCAACGTCCATGTCGAAGCGTCTAGCCACTGTTTTTAATCGGTGGGCGGTGTTGTGGAAATAGGGGATGACAGTGTACTGTACCTTTGCCGGCCAGGCTTCCGTGCAGCGGCTTTTTCAATTATAAGTTTTCTGAGCGTGGAGGGCCAGCAGGTCGCGCGGGTATCCGGCGTTTGTGAGGCGGCTGAGCTGTCCCTTCAGGCTAGATGGGGAGAGGTGTTGGCAGGACTTTGTGCGGGTGGAGGAGATGAGACTTTTTGCGATGCCTGCTTTTACTGTCTTTGAGTGGTAACTTGAAAACGGCAGTTTCACTCTAAAAAAAAAAAGGGGGTGTAGGCGCTACACCCCTTGTCACATATACGACATTCCAAAACTTCAGTTGGATGTACAGCGCACTGGCGTTGTACCGACGCTACCAAATTTCACAAGCGGCTCGATAGCCGAGTTGTACAACTCAATAAAATAGTTAATGTAAGTGTGACGGTCTGCAAAAAAACTTATCGAAGTTTTCTAGGCTCAACTGCAAAACCTCTGTGTTTTCTTCCTGTAGACTTTGATAAGTACTTCAGCTGTTTAATATGTAATATCTCACCGTCATCAATGCTCTCGCAAAAGTTGGGACAGTCAGTTCGACGTCAGCGCGCTGTACATCCAACTGAAGTTTTGTGGTGTCGTATATGTGACAAGGGGTGTAACGTCTACACCCCCTTTTTTTAGAGTGTTCGCCACCCCACAGTGCTGCGAAACTCGAACATCTCACTGTGTCTCCGTTGAGCAAGAAATAAGTGGATGTTTGCTACAGTGATAAAGAATCCTACACACCTGTTACGTACAGAGCGAGACAGAACACTATGGCAGGCTTCGCTCGAAGCGCCACTAGCTTTACTTACACAAGGCTTGACAGTGACGCAGGCATTGTCCTACTCGAGAAGACTTCGGTGTGGAAGCGACGAAGTGCTGTGCTTGTGGAGGCGCATTTGGAGATTCCTTCAGGCACTCCGCGCTGGTGCACAGCACTTAACTACACCAGAGCCTTTAGAAAGGCCTTGCTCGGGGAAAGGTTGATCGTAGTTGCAAGAATTCTTGCGGCGAGCTGGAGGAGTTTTGACAGAAGCTTCTAAACACGGACCCGGACGAGTACCGGAACCTGCGTCGCGTAAGCCGGGCAAAGTTTCCGCGGTTACTTTCACGCGTGGAACCAAGAATCGCGCGATAAAAGGAACCAACGAATGCACTTGACAGGAAGATGCAACATTTTGTTTTATTCGCAAAAAAACAAAAAAAAAGCAGTTACCGCTGCCAGAATAAAGGCGTTTGAAATCAGTCGCGCGCCAAAATTCCGCTGTGAAAAAGTGCTGGACTCTATCAGTCCACGCGTCAGCGAACGAGGTGCGGATCGCAGGAATCGGTGACGGGACATAACATGGTACGCGGACTGCGGACAAAAATCACTACTCGGTCCGTCGTGTAAATCTGTTTTTAGCAAGAAATTGTGCCCAATACGTGATAAACAAAGCATGGGGTACATCCTTCCAATCAATCAGACAAAGTAACTGATATATTAAACTATATTATAACATGAATTGCGTTTCAACAGAAAGCCCAATTTTTCAATTCTGTCCCTTCATCCGTTCGTGAGTTTCCCGCAAATTGTAGCAGGGAAATTCACGTCTTGTGAAATGACGAAACAAGATATATACACCAAGCGGAGAAATCGACGTCACGTAACCTGTGCGTCACTCCAGTTTCCCCGCTAATTTTAGCCGGAAAAATTAGTTCTTTTGACTTATATACGAATCTCGATTTCCCACTAACTTTAGCGGGTGAAATCAACGTCACGTATCCTGATGTCATGTGACCTATACAACAATTTAGTTCCTTTTCAAAATTTAGCTAAGAAATAGATATCAGGTGGCGCATCCTCTGTTCCCTTCTCTTTCATTCCTTCCTACTCCCACTCCTAGGGTGTCCTCCCCATACCTATTTTTCCCTCCCTCTTTATTTCTTTCTCTTCTCTCTCCACCTCCCGCCGACACACTGCTCTCCCTTCCTCCCCATCCCTCACCCTTCCTCCTACCCCTGTACCCGCCAATCTCCTACAATGCCTTCTTTCGCCCTTCAATCTTTCCTTCTCCCTCCGCTTTCCTCTTCCTTAGTCATGTGACACACTAATTCAGTTTCTACATTCTTCTCTCCTCCCTTCCCTCTCCCCTGTTCTCTAATCCATCTAACCACCGTTTTACAATGTTACCTCCCCCGCCCCAGCCACCAAGGGGGCGGGAGGTGCCCTTCCCCATCCCTCCCCTCCATGGTCACCCGACACACAGATTCAGTTTTCCCAAAATGTATGAATATATTTTAGTCTTCACTCCTGGAACGACGGGTTAATGTCTACCAAATGATTGAAACAATCATTGAAATAAGGGTTACATTGCAGTAGAGTTTATAAACGATCATTGTGGGGAAAAAACAGCCTTGAGACTAGAAACAAAAATTGGGACAACATAAAACCGTCTCATGTTTGCTTGTTTGAGACGGTAATGTGTTGCCCTGGTTTTTATCCCTGGTGTCAATCCTGTTCGGTTGTTGCTTTTTTTTTTTTTACTGTGAAAGAGTCACTTCAAAATACTGCGTTTCATGCACATATGAATTAGAAGTTAAAGGTCGCTAATAATTTTGTTAAGTTAGTCACGTCAGAAGACAAATTGTTCCGCCGTGTTTAAATATACTTTCACTCAAAATACTGAATGATTTCCCTAGCGAGGTTGCAACCACGAGAAACAAATACTCCAATAAGAAAGTATAAACACTATATAATAATAGGTCACGTGTTTCTAACGTTTTCGTTAGTTTTAATACTGCCATCTGATTTTTTAAGCGCAAGATTATGCAAGCTCGGGACGAGAGGCTCAAGCGCATGACGGACCTACTGTCTTCGGTGAGATTGGTGAAGATGTACGCATGGGAAGAGGCCTACATGAAGGCCATGAAAGAAGTCCGCGAAAAAGAAATGACTTCTATATTCCGTGTCAACTTGCTGGATGGCCTTCTCGATTCCATTTACGGCGCATCGACCTCTGTGGTGTGTAAATAGAGCGTTGTCTTCTGCAGCATGTTCATTACGTGGGTTCAAGAGACTTCTCACTCTCCCCATTAAATTATCTCAGAAGCTCTTGCGTCTTAAATGCCCCGACATGCACTCGAACTACTATCAACGGTTGTTATTTATTCAGGTTAGTTAACGATAAAGGCGAGCAAAACATGCTCTTCTGCCTGATTTCCCCTGTGTGATGATACTCGCGATTTATCAGTAGCAACGTCGCATCGCCCTGCGACGTTGCGTGGGCATTTCCCACTTAGGCCACCTACGCAATGAGACCTTGGATCTCATCTCGGCAGTACGGGCACACCTTCAGCATAGATTTGGGCTCCATAGAGGCTCCGCGCTGGTACGCCCAACTTCGGCTGCACTTTCGATGCCCCCGTGGGTCCCACATCGGTTATGCGGGGCAGAGCTAGCACAGTGTTGGGCTAAACGGGGGCACTGCGTGGGCATGGACAACTTGGGCTGCCAGCGCAATGTACCCGGGCGTTCTACTTCGGCTATACGGAGAAAGTTAGCAGAGAGGTGAACTTTATTAGTGGCACCACACGGGAAGGTCCAACCTAGGCTGCGCCTGCAATGCCTCCCTGGGTTCCACCACTGCTATTTAGGGGTAGAAGTAGCAGAGGGGTGGGCTACATGGGGGCACCGCGTAGACATGTTTACCATGGACATCCGCTCAATGCACGTCTCGTTCTCCCCTCGGCTATACTGGGACATAGTTGCACCTGTGTGGGCTCCATGAAGGGACCGCGTGGGCAAGCCCAATTCGTGCTTCCCGTGCAACGCCCTCATGAGTCCCATCTCGGTTACGTGGGGAGGGACAGGACAACTGTAGGCTGCACGGAGTGCCTCGTGGGCATGCCCATCTTGGGCTGCCCGCGCAATGGCCCCGTGGGGATATAGCTCTCCTCTAGGTCCCCCGATGGGCATCCCAGGTAGGCTGCCCAAGTCGGTCCCAGTCCCACGTGGGCCCGACTTGCGAAACCGACGTGGGACGCAAGTGGGCTGCCCAAGTGGGACTCAAGTGATGCCCACTTCGTGCGGCAAAATCTCGTATCGGATCTCGTATTCTCTTGTATTTTTGCCCAACCTTTGTATCTTCAGTTTCAGGATGTTTAATGGGCCACATTACCTTCTCGGTGTGGGTTGCCGTTGCAGTATTTGAGGCTACAATCTGGTTATATTTGTAGAAATTGACAAAGCAGAGAAAATTACCGTGTGCTGCGACGTCAGATCGAAGATCTCTCATTGTAAAGATTAGTGAGTAGACACGAATACCTTTTTTGTCTATTCGCTGTCTCCCCTCAATTAGAGCAAACAAGGTTGCCATCTGCTCCTCGTGCAGGATGTGGCGGTGGAACGCCTTTTCCAGTTTCCGGCATTCGATGCCAGACACTGGCCGGACGTCAGACGAACCTCGCTTTTACTCGAATGAAACAGGTAGTAGGGACAAATGCAGCTTGCCTTTCCGCCTACCCATTGATACCTACAATCAGCCCTAGGCGCTCTAATGCCATGCTCTGCTCTCCCCCTCTCCCTTAGTTTCTATTTACACTCTTTTCGCTAGCCGGTAACTCAAGATATAGCTGTTACAGTGTGGGAAAATAATTAAGAATATTGTCGACTGCACATTTTAACAACAACTAGTATGTGACACGCATCTAATTTCAACTTGTTATGCGACAGCGTTCTTTCTGATGGTGCTTGTCACGTCACCGCGCCAGCAGTATATAAAGACAAACTAAATATATTTCTAAGGCATTGTCATTTGCCTTAGACATTCTGTGTAAGAATTTGGGTCTTGAGCAGTGCAGAATATATTATTGTGCTTAGATTTTGGCTAAAAGCGTGTTATTGAGGGCTATACCAAGAAAGACCAATACGTTTCAGGTAAAACAAGTCGAGCTATATTTTGATAACATATGTACCTACAGATGACCATCATACTTTTCGGAACCTTGGCTGCTATGGACCCCAAACGAATCCTCAGTCCCGAGCTCTCCTTCTCCTGCGTCTACATGTTGTCTATGACGGACATGGTAACAAACTCGGCCCCCTTGACTCTTAGGATGCTCAGTCTGGTAAGCATACTAATTTTATGAATATATTGCATGGCACTCTACCGCCATGGAGATTGTAAGCGTTTGGGGGGGTTTGCGTTGATGTCAGGTCGACCCTCGCGCCGCATAGCAACGATAGATAAACTTTGGAGACTCTATGAATATTCCAAATGCGCAGACGACTAAATGTATACCGATAGAGAAGAAATATTAAAACAGCAAAAGAAAAATGCGGGGATTCAAACTACGCTCAATGGTACAACTTGCATCACCTCATCATGCATTGTATTTGCTGCACAGGAAATATTTCAATTTTTAAAACAGCACCTGTCAAATTCTTTTTACCGAACCGGATAGGGGCATATAATACTTATAATTAAATACATAAATAAGTTTTGTTGTGTTTTCTGGAGCGAGCTAAATATTTGTTTTATTTATTAAAATTCTATTGTGGCAGCACGTTCAGTTCGGTTGCTATGTGCACTCTTTCTTGCGTTTTGTGACTTATGTTTCTGCAATCGTACTTACAAAGGTACTGAAAGTCGGCTAAGAGTATAAATAAAACAAACCAAGCTATTGTCGCGACCGGGACCTGAATTAAGGTACGAAATGACCACGGTTCCAATACCAGCGCGGAATATATTATTTATTGTTAGTTTCCTATTTATTTGTGTGTAAATTGCCCCTCCCCCCAAAGAAAAAAAAAATCGCTTTTATTGTTTGTCCTTGAAGTGCATGACCAACCTCGGAATTCACAACTTTTTAACCATCCAACTATTTATTTATTTATTTATTTATTTATTTTGTTGCGCCATCAGTACCTGGAGGCGTTAAAGAAGGGGTGAGTTTACAATGCTCAAAAAGTACAAGACAAAAAATCATGAAACAGTAAATAGTAGTGGTTACGTCCCTTCTGAAACTAAAAAGATTAAGAATTGTAGCGATGAGTGTATGAAGATGAATACGTTGAGTAGGCGTTCGAGGTAGGAGTGATTTAAAGTAGGTAATAGTTCGGAGCTGGGAAATGCCGACTTTATGTGCGTGATCGCTGCGTGGTGATATGTCGAATGAGTCCAGATGATGTTGAGATTTCGGAACTATGTTGTGATAACAATATTTTCTCAAAGAAACATAAACGAGAGCCATTCGCCCTAAACAAACGCTAGGCAAAGGGAAGCTAATTTTAGAGATGTTCTATTTTATATACGATGAAAATCAGAAAGAATAAAGTACACGGATCTATTCTGCACACCGGTCAAGGCTTCGAAAAGCTTCTCAATATTAGGGTCCCAGACAGCAGAAGCGTACTGCAGTTTTAGCGTGACTAGTGTTTTAAATGAGAACTTCAGAGTTGATGGTGCCTAGAAAAACTTTCGTTTTTAGTAGACAAGCATGATGTTATCCTTGTAAATGACGTGCTGAACATCTGAGTCCAAAGTCAGGTGAGATGGCATGTAACCGCCCAGATATTTGTGTGAGCGAGTTGCAAGGCCATGTTATCAGAGCACTATTTAACGTTTATAGCCATGAGCCAAATGTTATACGAACATGGCAAAATCGAGGCCATTTTCACGAAGTTATATGCCAGAACTGTTAGCGATTCACGGTATACAGCACAGTCGTCTGCAAATAAAGGAATGGAAGAGGAAATATGCATAGGTAAGTCATTGGTATAAACGAGAAAAAAAACAGAAAACCAAGCACGGATCCCTGAAGTACTCCAGATGCGACCGGAATTTGTGATGAGTCAGTAAAAGTACAATATACAAATTGTGATCGAAAAGTCAGAAACGAAAGAGTTACAAAAGTACACTAGGTTCAATCTTAAGATTGCCGAGCTTAAAAAAAAAACAAAAAAAACAAGGAGTTTATGAGGCACCTTGTAGAACGCCTAATATAAGTAAGTTTCATCGCTTTGCTTAACTAAAAGAACAAATAATCATATAAATATATAGACACGTGGAGGAGCAAATAAAGAAATAGACGCAAATGCATAAATAAATAAATATATACTTTTTATGCTATCAGTTTGCACCTTCATCTGCTACGCTAATAAAGTTTGACAACAAAGATCTTATGCGCATCGCCGCAGTGAAATCGTAAAAGCTTTAGATAAGTACCGTATATACATATATTCCCAAACGTTCGGCAACAAAGAAGGATACGAGATTTATTATAAACATGCTAACCAATCTGTTCACTTAAGGCGGTGCTGAGTATGCGAAGGATCAAGGATTTCTGCAATGCCGAAGAACAGGAGAATCGACAAACCTGCAGCAACAATCTCACCCGAAGGAAAGGTAAGAATAGATGACAAACAAGAAACAAACAACTCCTCCTTCATACATAAAAAAAGATATGTCCGTACCATCATACTCCAAACCCTGAGGTTCTCCTAATGGCTTTCTTTTTTTTGTCTGGTTAAGGATTATTTCTTCCGAAATTCATACAATTAATATATTACATTACATCACTATATAAAACGTGTATGAACAGGCCCAAAACCACACCTTTAAAGCATTATTTTTTTCAACCTGGTACTCGAAGAGTTGTTTTTCGGGGGCTACGACGTAAAATTTAAAGGCTATTTCATGCCAATCATGCGAAAACTTTAGAAACGCTTGTGCACGCTAGGGCTCTTCAAGAAACATATTAGTGTTCACATTCTTAATGAGCGAATCGAAGTCGTGTTTTGCGACGCGCAAACCTTTATAATTAACAAACGTTTTTATGCAACTTTAAAAATAATGTTTTTGTGCGCGAACACTCCATTACGAAAGTTTTAGATCGTGTTCAGTAATATCTCAACGAGTCGTTGTCAATAAAGTAGTACTCCGGTGTCTTCTTCGTGGACCCCCAAATGCATGAAAATATGCTAAATATACCAACAAACATCGCTGAAATGCTATTCCCAGTACTATGGTAAAATACAATTTTGCGAGAAGTTATTGATTTCACAGTTCCCGTTCTTGCACTGCCTTTCAAAGTGAAAGTATTTGCTGGCAATATTGAAAAAGATACGAAAAAGATTCACACTTTGGACTGTAGAATTTGTTTCAAACTGATTGTAAACAGTTTCATGCTGAGAAACAAGTGCATAAGAAGCTCCCTTCAGCATCCGCGACCCAGCATGCAAACCCTTCTTGGCATAGTCTATTCTTAAGCTGCCTGCTCGATTGGCGTGCCTGCCTGCCAACGACGTCACGACAATGAAATGTGCGGATATATTTGAAGGATGGTGTTTTGCGTCATTTTCATTTGCCGATTTGACTATAATTATTCTAAATTTCGCGATGCTAATTAGCATAATAGAAAGGGCAAAGGCCGGGTATTCGGTAAATACATCTAATAAGGATAGCTGAAAATTGTTGGACTATACCACATTAGATGGGACATGAACGGTATCAGGTTGGAATGCTCATGACTTTGCAGAGGCCTGCTGGTCCTATCCTGGACCAAATACACTCGCAGAGACTGCAATTGATTGAGAAACTTCTTTGACTCGGTAAAATTACGAGGGTAAAAGGAGACGATTTCTTTCAGTCTCTCCTTCGCAAATCTTGATGACGTAATTTCGTGATCGAAACCACCCGCCTGATGGCAGTCGAGCGCAGCTCATGGATTGGACACAAGACCTGTTTGAGCATTTGTCTTCATCTCGTAACAATCTACGCTTCGGCGGACATTCGTGTACTGGCTCGCGGCCAATTACTGCGGTGAAGAGAATACCCGAACTCTAGCAATTTCTGAACCTCAGCACTCGTTTTCTACTTTGGGTAACCCAGCGCGTAGCTATGATTAACGTTAGCGGCATAGGATAGACACCAGGCGACGTGGCCGCTTGTTCCGGTTCTGAGTTCGGATGAACAATAATCATAATTCTCGATTTTTTTTTTTGCGGTTGTCATTGCCTAGAAAGAAACATTAAGACAAGTTTATTCAGTTAAAGACGTTAGGCCGTGATTTTAAATTGTATTTAGCGAAGTATTAAAATATAACCACGTGATTAATATTTAGGCTTTCGTGTTTTTGAATAAATCCGCTAACATGCGAAGAATGCGTGCTGGTAAAATATTTGCGAATTCGCACTTATCAAACACTCAGAATTTGCATGTCACGGTCACAAGAAACCACCATACTAAAAATACCCGAGACTGCGTTGACTATACTCCGTTTCATACATAGCGTACAACGGAGTCAAAGCTAGCGCACCGCTTTGCACTGCCGGCCGCCTACGTTCGCCCCATAAAATAGTGCTGCCCCTGCAAAAAAACCAAAAAAGTAGAAAAATATGAATCTTCGGAGCTAGTAACTGATAGTTGCGTTATTATTTCGACGGAAAGCCGATTTTTCTTTTTTTTTTTCAATTAAAAAGGATACGATAATGTAAACGACTGTAAATTGTTTTCCGTTTTCGTCCGTGCGGCAGCCGCTTTGGGTTTTCGGGTTGTGCGGCTGCCTTCCTTTGCCGCCTTTGCTGCCGTTTCCCCGCCGGTTTTGAGAAGATGGCGTCTTACACAGGAAGCTTTCATCTCCTGCTCGGATATTTTCGGGTATTCGTTGTACGAAGATCTCGAAAGAGCGCAAGCAGGTGACCGCCAACGTGTACGCGAGTTCAAGAACGTGTTTCCCGGAGACGTCGGTCCCTGAAGTCCTGGAGACGGTCAGTAACGACACCGGAGTGCGGGCCCGTACTGTCGCGAAGTACAAGGCGCAGCGTTTATCTGGCAAGTTGGCATCCCCGAAGCGAAGACCTCGCAACCTGAAAGTTTCGAGCACGCGGACCGTGTTGTGAACTGCCTTCTGCCATGTCTGGTGTTATAATCAACCTTTTGGCTTCAAAATGAAACAAGCCTCAAGAAGGAACAGTGCCGGTGATGAATCGTATCTACGGCTCCATCTGCTTGCGGTACCTTAACCTTGGTCGGCTAGGTGGACGATGCCCGTTGCTGCATTCCGACACGTCTGGTTTCTTCTGCCTCCGGGACCGTAACCTTGGTCGGCTCCGTCTGCCTGACGCACCTTAACCTTGGTCGGCTAAGTGGACGACGCACATGCCCGTGGCTGTTTTCCGAGGACCCTGCTTTCCTCGAAAAGAAAACAACACTCGATCCTGACCTCGAGTGCCGTGTATTGTGTACGCGTCTATTGTAAATCACTCTGGGTTCATTGAGGCGCTGGCACCAGAGCAGCGAGATACTGCAGTCTGGATGACTTCCATACACCGGCGAGTATTCCGACTCTGAAGGAAACTTCCATGAAGTCACATCACGCGAGGGAATACCAAGCCGTCTGACCAATGGCAGTGCGGTCCCCTAATCCCAGTATTCGTAATATAAAGGCACGTCGACCGCACTCTCAAGGTACTCTCCGATTTTCACGCCACCATGTAAATAAACGGCTTTAAAAACGCCCTGCATGAATCTTGACCGTTCTTCCGTAGTGACGGGGCCGGCGCGGGGTTCAAGCGGAACACCAGCCCATAGTTTACCAAAGCAACAAGAAAAGAGGAAATAAAATATGCACTTCCGCAATGCGCACAACCTTGCACAAAAAAACACGTCTAAAAAAAAAAAGAGAACTTTCCGCTTCAGGTGGCTTCGAACCACCGCCACCGAGACGTCCGAGACGTCGGTATCGCAAGAGCAGCGCCTTGCACCGCTCGTCAACGAAACGCGCGGAGTAACACATTTTTTGTATTTTTTCATGCATACTACTTCAGTACCTTTCCCAGCGTTGCACGCTATGTATGAAACGGACTATACCGAAAATTGATATAAAGAAGGAAACAGGTCACAGACAGGTGTTTCCAAGAACACGATATTTAACGAATGAGATTGGGGCAGTCGTCCTGAGGAGACGTATCCGCAGTTTCTTTCCAAATCTTGGACCACTGACAATAGGGTGTTCACCGTCTATTTCGTAAAGTTTTATTCAGGACAGCTGGTTATTGTACCGCTTGTACACTAACGCTTCGATCCCGAATTTTCGGTCCGCAAAAATATATTTCTCAATGTACCGGGCTGATATTTATTTACTACATGGGTGCAGCTAGAAGTTTTATACATGTATAGGTGGTGCTCCCAAGACGCTCTCCTTTCGAATCAAAGAGTTCGCGCACACTTTTTTTTTTAAAGTTAGGTAAATAACTGTTACTAATCGGCCAGTTTTTCGTTTTCGAACATGGAGGATGATTTTCTCAATAGAACTGCGCAAGATACTGCGATTTTTCAGGCGCCGTAAAGAGTACCAGCTTCTATAAAGTCGAAGTTACCTGAAACGACCAGGGTTGTTTTAGATTGTGCTATACTTTATCGTGTCGTATTGTATTATGCAACCATATATGTACATTGCGCGATACTGTTAGCGTGAACACGTCGTCCGCACTTTTTTACATTATTCTTCAAAAGAGTACTTGGAAATCAAAATTTACTCTTCAGGTTAGGACCCAAATTGAGATCTTTCCACTTGTATAGTTTTCTATACTTGTGGTTTAAGACCCTAATCAGGATCTTAAACCGAAAATAATGGCACTTCACTTACGGTAACCGCTACATTTATGAAACCGGTTTCGTTTCGTTTCCTTTGCGTTTCGGTTTTGCTACATATTGCGGTTACCGCTTAAGCTTTTAAGAAGACAGTTTTTTCTTTCTTTGTGAAAAAAGATGAAAACGGTTGGTAGAAACTTGCTGGACACCAATAAAGATGTTACTCTTACTTCAACCCAGCTTTCTTTTGTGTGGTTTGTTATATTCGAGAAGAATTAGAATATGTATTCGCCTCTCTCTATTGGCTAGAAATATTAAATATTTTAACTTCAAGGCGCTTGTAATCTAAATTTATTCAAAGATATAGTTTTGCTCTGTTTTGTTTACGAAGGATTAGGCTACACACAATACAACATTCTAGAAACACCGTCTTCCTATATAAAAAGAACTTGAGCAAGGTTTACCTTCAAACTTTTACAATGCATACAGTGCCTTATAGGCAATTGTTGTGTCACGTGACGTATATTTTCCCACTAAATTTAGCAAGAAAACTGAAAGGTTGTAAAGGTTACGTGATGCTAGGTCACGTGATGACAATTGTTTTTGGTAAATTTAGCAGGAAAACTGGATTGGTGCCTAAATCACAAGACGTTAATTTTCGCGCTAAATTCTGCGGGAAAACTAAGTTGACGTATAGGTCACATGCCGTGAATTTCCCCAAGGTGTATATAGTACAGGTCACGTGACGTCAGGTATTGTCACGTGATGCCACTTTCCCGCAAATTTAGCGGGGAAACCGAATTGTCGTATAGGTCTCGGGACGTAATTTTTTCCCCTTTATTTATTGGGGAAATTGAGTAGCCCTTTATTTCCGGGGCGTCAAGTCTTTTGACATCAATTTTCTCGCTAAGTTTAGCTGACGAGCTGAATTTGTGTTTACGTCTGGTGATATCAATTTCACTGCAAAATTTAGCGGCAAATAAACAGACGGACGGTGGACGGACAGAATGTTTTGTTGAGGGAGATAGCGATAAAACGTAGTTCATGCTTTAAAAAGCAGTATATGCATCTTTCTGTGTGACGGCATTTGTGAACTTACAATACAAATACCAGTTCGTTGTTTTTAGTGATTCCGTCTTTCTTTATTTCCTATTTATAGTTTAAATTAGCGCCATTTACATGTATTGTCGGATAAAATATCACGTGGAATGCAAAACGCCAGAAATCATAAGAAAACACCGAACTTCCGCATTGGTCTCCAGTCAGAAACAACAACGTGTTGATACCATTTGTCGCCTGCAAAATCGCTTGGCAGTCGCACTAAAAATACTTAATACCCCCGATCGCTTCGACCACTGCAGATATGCGTTTGTATGCTTTCGTAGCTCTCCATTAGTTCGATGTCAAAATGGCGTCGATGATGTGCACTTGTGCATGAAGTCACTTGCGAGGCTTACTTTCAATAGCTTGTATTTGAAGCAGCTAAGTCGTCGAAGCCGACTTGTATTGTCATGAATGACAAGTGGTGAGGCGATAATAACTGAAGAAACTAAGCGTTTAATCGGGCGACCTTGTGCCCAAAAATTAAAAGGGAACAGAAGAAAGCAGAGCGTCGCGGGCGTCGAAGTCGGCGTGACAGCAGAGCCGAACGCTGGGACGAAACTGACTTTAATTCGCCACGCGGAGCCCCTTATCTACATGCGTGCGCTTCTGGAATAATCAGCGTACAATGTTCGACGCGAAGAACATTCGGACCTCGAACACACCCAACAGGATTCTGGAATCTACCAGACAACTAAATTGCAGGAATAACAAAAGATGCGTCGCTCCCAGGGATCGAACCTGGCTTTTCGCATGGGAGCCAGGCACGATAACCGTTAGGCTACGCGCGCGCTGCCTCCTTGCCCAGCTGCGCTCGCGGCAGTATTACTACGATTAGATGCATCTGACCATTTATAGCAGCGAGAACAGGGTTCGTACGGCGCCTATATTATCTCGGTAAACTCCGAAGATATGGAGTGTGGCCTTATTTGATGCAATACCAGCTTCAAAGAGAAACACGTGTCATCACCCCAGAGGGGTTGACTTCTTCGGTGTGTTGCCTTATGCCTCACACCGGTGCTCATACCCACTGTCCCCGCAGCATCTTGTGCTTGCCAAGTTATGTTGAAAAAGAGCCGGTGAAGCTTGCCCCCCGAGCCTGTCAGAATAGACTTCGTATGCCATTTTCGAACGACTGTGTGGCACTTGGCACTTACACCAGTTGAACGGGAAAATAGAGCACCACCAACACGCGGAGAACAAGTTGGATACATGAATAGACCAGGAGTGGTTCGCTTTTTCTGCTTGTTTGTTGTGACCTGGTGATCATACTCTTTCAAGTTACCCTCGTCATACCCGCTAAACCCATTGGCAAATTTGTGTGGCCTCTTCGACGAGTGGAGTGGGTGTGTTTGAACTCCTTAATTGGAGTTCATACCCACGGCCTGCACCTTCGACCTAATACCCACACAATGTTGTTCACGTATTGAAACTTTTTCACTAGCTACGTTCGCGAGGAACGTTGTGTAAATAATACGGACGCGGCGTTTTTCGGCTATGCAAATGCACAAGAACAAAAGTCGAACTCAATCTCCCTAGTGTATTGGTAACGACATTTATTTTGAGCGTTTTTTCTTTAAAATATTATTCCTCTATTTTTATTCTAGCTCGCTATTTTATGTTAGAGTAAGACCTAGCTAATGCTATATCTTATTGTGCACCAGACCCCAAACTATTAATTTATCTCGATCCTCAATAGGTTGCGTCCAGAACGTTGGCAGTTTAGAGGAAAAATATTGCCTTGCATTTCCAGATTGTAACTTTGAAGCTCAAGCGCCAAAAAACCCTCTAGGCTAAGCAGGCATTAACCTTACTTCACAAGATCCCCTATAAAGTCAATTGCATATTCACGTAAACTAAACTGCTTATTAATTTTACAGTACAACCATTGACGCTAACTTGAATTTATAACGGGAAGTGCCTCTCGCCGACGCCATCTGCACGTCTGCAAATTTTATGTTAGATGAGTAATCCGTCTAAAGGTTTACATTTGTTATTTATGAAAGTTTCGTCGAACCAAATATAAAGTATATCTGTTACCGGTTAATTACTAACGGCTAGAAATCCGCTTAAGGTTAATGGCAATGGCAAACACGGGTTCCGTTCCTGTTGCGTTTACCGAAAAACGGTTTCGCTCGCAATCGATTTTAAGTTCGTGTTATGGTAAGGGTTTGAGTCCATGTTCTACATGACAGATCGTTAATACCCAGCAAAAATAAAAACAAAAACGTGACTGTTATCGCTAACCTAGTGAGGGAATGTACAACACATTTTGTTTTACCGCTGTTTCAGTCACCTTCTGCAGCAATCAGATTTTCTCTTTCCGCACTAACCCTATCCACGTACTTTTCACAGGCGCAGTTGCATTGGAAAAGTGCTCGTTCGCCTGGACTAATGGACAGGGACAAAAACCCAAGGCAGTTCTCTCTGGAATCTCATTGGACGTCAAACCAGGTGCCCTCGTTGGCATCACAGGGTTTGTGGGAAGCGGCAAGTCATCTCTGCTGGCGGCCATCTTGGGAGACATGCACCGTCTCGATGGAACTGTCAATATCAACGTACGAACAAAGAATTCCATGCCATTAGGTCATTTGGGGACGGATATGACGTCTATACTCCGTTTCAACTTACGGTCGACCTCAGAGGATGATACGGGCCACCGGAGCTAATCCAGGGCCTTTGAAGTTTTTGCGTGACCGTGGAGAGAGTTCACTGAGAAGCGAAAGGGGTATCACGTGCTACGTCCACAGAGCTGAGTTCGCTGGGGTGGCTCGTAACGTCGGCTGAAGTTGGATCTGTAAAGGGAAATTGAGTATAGCTCTGACCCGAGCACTGCGGAACGCCCCATCTTCTCTTGGACTTGTGGCTTCTCTCGGTTTTAGGTTTTCAGCGCTTAATCTTATTAAACTAAAAGAGTTTTCCCCCCTCGAAACCGTCTCTACATACCTTTGGTATTAGTCAAACGAATTAGATCGGAGCACGTGTAGAGAAAGCTCGCACGGCAGATCCCAGGGATCTTGGGTTCGATTCCTACCCTGCATGCGGACGTGTATCACTACTGCGTGGCGCACGTTAACGTGTAGCGAATCTACTGCACCGGCTGAATTTTTCATCTCCAGCTGAGACACCAGACACCCATTGGGGCTGACGAACTTCCGGCTGTACAAACATACACACATTTTCAAACGCGTTTTTTTTTACTTATTTTTTTGTGTGCAAATTTTGCAGTTTGTGCGCAACAAAGATTGTACTTAATATTGTCCCGTCAAAACCAGATTTGGCACTATATGCTTTAAGATATATACATTCCGACATTTGAGGTTTCGTTCCAAAAAAGCATTTATATTTAATAAAAAAACATATTTGGCAGCCTTTTGGAAATACTTTGTTTTTATTTTCAATTGCTCTAAAATAAAAGAGGAATCACACACAATATTTTTGCTGTTCATTGCACTGAATGGTTCCCAGGAGAAAATTAGTTTGTTTTACCTTAATCATTTAGGTTCGTTGCCGTCTTCCCCATGTGGGCCTAACACGCATTTTTTGTATGTACAGGGCGTCCATAATATGAAAACGATGAGTTTAGTAGCTAAAACCCTACTTATAAAAAAAAAGGAGATTGAGGATTATAAGGCGTGTAATTTTCACTTGGCTTTTGTAAATTCTGTAAACAAATATTGCCTTACGCAAGTCACATTAAGTGCAATCCTTAATTTGGTTACAGGGCAAGGTGGCGTACGTTCCTCAGGTGGCTTGTATTTACAACATGACTGTCCGTGACAATATAGTGTTTGGTCAGTCTTTCGAACCTGCCCGCTATAGCAGCGTGCTCCGGGCCTGTGAACTTTTTACCGACATCAACACATTCCCTGCTGGTGACCTCACCGAAGTTGGGGAAAAGGTAAGTAAAAACAGCACGGAGCAAAACATTTTGTAAGTCAACGTTTATATCGTGTGCAATCTTTCACTTCAAACCTCCGTCAAAATCTTGAATGAGTAAACTCCCTCGTAGTGCCCATTATGGTCTACCCGTTGGTGGAAAACACTTCAAAATTTTTAAAAAATAGGTGTCAATTTTTTCGCTGAAAATTTACTCTTCGTCTGGATATCTAACTGAAATGTTAGACATAAAAACACACAAAAGCACCTGCTTGCTCTACTGACGTCTAACCCGTGGTAAGCTCCGTTCGTAGTGCGCTCCACTGAAAATGGAGGGTCCCGGGTTCGATACCCGAACCAGGCAAATTTTTTCGGTCGCGCACCAGTCACCTAGCTGTGTTGGGAGTATATGTTTGTCCTTTGTCCCTCTTGTTTTTGTCATTTTTATCCAGCTCGCTTGCACTTTTGCATTTGATTGCATTATAATCATAACTTTAAAATCTAGTAGTTTCACCCTTGTTGGTGGTAGACTGGTAGCCGCTGATAAAACTTGTTTGCTCTACTGACGTCTAACCCCTGGTTAGCTCAGTTGGTAGACCGCTCCACTGGAAATGGAGAGGTCCCGGGTTCGATACCCGGACGAAGAGGGTTTTTTTCGGTCGCGCACCAGTCACCTAGCTGAGTACGGAGGTTTGTGTTTGTCCTTTGTTCCCCTTATCCAGGGATCGTTTTCTCTAGCAAATTGTTTGTTTTATATTGATTGTTTAGTTTAGCCGATCAATCCGAGCTTTATTGGGTCTCAAACAGCTTTAGGCCCTTATGGGGTTACACTGGCACGAAATAAGACAACACAAGTATTTACATACTACGCAGCAATCCTTAGCATTATACTATTCTTGAACTCTTCAAAAAAAAGGTGAGAAAGTCTACATCAAGGTTGAAACCTTCTCGTGCATGAGCATCGGACTTAAACTATATACGGTACACTCTAGTCTATTCATTCAAAATTCGTTTTTGCGGCAGCATGCGTAAAATGCATTAGAAAAGAAATCCCAAAGCTATCCAAACATAAAAGTCCTAAAAAAATACGTAAAAAAATACAGATGGCTCTGAAACCGAAGGCATCGATCAAGATATTCTCGGAATTCTGGTGTTCATATGCGGTTTTCATTTTGGATTCAACATGGATGTTACTAAAACTCATCAACGACGCCTTTTTCCTCTCAACTTCTCATGGCGAAAATTCTGAATCTTGCAGGGAGAAACGTTGAGTGGAGGTCAGAAGCAAAGAATCTCACTGGCCAGAGCAGCCTACAGTCGCAGCCACATCTACCTTTTGGACGACCCGCTCAGCGCCCTGGACCCAACCGTCGCAGACAAAGTATTCAAGCAAGTGCTGGGGAGTAACGGCCTTCTGAAGGACACGGTATGGTCGCGTTTAGATGAACTTGCACCCGACGTCTCTCTAGCTACATCAGCTTTAGGAATTGTTAAAACTTTTAAGATAACCAGTAGAAAGTCCCTACTGGAAGAATATTAGTCCACTTACCTTCTTCTGGTATCAACAGTACTTAGACATCGCCCAAAAGAGACTAGACGTCTTCAGCTCAATGGAACCAGCCTATTAACTGCAGACACCTTTGCGCTTAAAATAATTGTTTCCAGTTACTTGAAGCTTAATTTAAAATGGTTGCAAACGGTATTGTGTCCTCCAGAATTCCTGAAATAGTTCGGGACAAAGCAAATCAATACCTCATTGAGCTTCCAGGCACAGTGTCGAAACCTCAGGAAGTCGTAATTTAGAAACTCTAACCATGGCTAATCGCGCCAGTTCTTCGTTAGGCACCAAAAATGGCGGCGCCCACAATAACATCGGGCAACGGAGCGCCATTGTGTCCATACATACATGTGCGTGGCCAACGTGTTTGAGTGCGGAACTGCGTCCTTGCGGCTGTGTTCAATTGCTTGCGCTACGACGTGCGCCGTCGCGTAGCCTACCTTAACGTACCGCGACAAGGTACCAGGTGTTCCGGAGAAAAAAAGAACCGTGTTTTTCTGCCCCGCGTGAATAAATTATGCGTTGCAGAAAACTCAAACTCCGTAAGAATGTGAAGCTAGCGGCTCTAATATCACGCGAAAGTTAGAAAAAAAAAAAAAAGATAATTGAAAACGAAATGAGCAAAATACCATTCAAAATCATACAGAAAATGGAACAAAGAATAAATGGGGTTGGCGGGATACGCAGAAGTGGTGCCATCTCTTGGCGACGAGTGGTCAGCTTGGTGTCGAAAATTATCTTCGTATCACTCACGTGCCCCACTCTTTTTCCCCCTTACACTATCGTTAAAAAATACATAGCCACTGATTGAAATTAGGAAACACTTGGTTGTGGCACATTTGTTTTAATTGATCTGTTCGAGAAAGTTCATATGCTAGTCTGTAAACTTGTTTGCGAACGATCCTGTGTAGTTATATGCCAATTTCAGCCTATTAATTATGTCCTAGTTATTTTACTATTCATCTGCATTCAAGTCATTATTTGGTCAAATTTAACTATATTGTGTTATCAGTGTTTTTACGGGTGAGATTGTCTTCAAGTGGCTCATACTGGTTTTTGGAAGCTGTCCTTGACCAGATGAGCTCCACTTGACTATGAGTAACTAATAGTAACAATTGTTCCCACCCCTGAGGCATAGGTGTTTTAGGGGTGGGATTAACTTCAGGTGGACCACTTTTTCCTATTGGAATATGTTCTTGGTCATATTGACTTGAAATGGGTATACATGACTGCAGTTGCTATTATAGACAATATTATTGGCTATAGGCATTTATTATTTACCTGGATAGCTTGAGTTGGGTATTATTGGCTATTCTTGACTATTATTGCCTGCTAGCATCCATTCCTAACCTGACTGGCTTGAATCGGCAACAAATGGCTAGTAGTGCTAATTTGTCGCAATGATCCGCTATTTCCATACTTTTGAATGAAAATATCTTCGAGTGGCTATATTGTTTGCAATTGGTATCGGTACTTTACAAAATCGCCTTAAATCGCTTCAGAATGAAGATTAATGAAAATGTCCTATTGATGATAATCTGACGTTCATGACTTTTTGAATATAAACGAACTCAAGTGGCTGGTATTGTCTATTTGCAGTTTTTGGCCGAATAGGCTTGGAGATGACTATAGATCGGTCGCGCACCAGACACCTAGCTGTGTTTGGAGATATGTGTTTGTCCTTTGTCCCTCTGGTTCCCCTTCTCCAGGGATTATTTTTGTCATTCTTATCCAGCTCGCTTGCACTTTTGCATTTGATTGCATTATAATCATAACCTTAAAATCAAGTACTGACGGGGTTAGTACTAGATTACTAACCCCTGGTACTGAGTACTGGTACCAGGGGTTAGACAATTTAAAGTGTATGCAATTGTAGTGTGTTTGGATTTCATTGACTTTAAATTACTAATATTCACTTCAGGCTTTTGACTTTATTAGCGTCAATTGGCTATTATCGACTATACGCACATATCTTGACCTGGTTGGCTTGAATTGGCAATTATTGATTCTAAGCACATGTCCCGACCCGGTTGGCTTGAATTGGCTACAAAATGGTTGTAAGTGGCTAGTATTGATAATAATTAGATATTTACGTGAATACAAACATGAAGGACTTCATGTGGCTATTTTTTTTCTATTGGCATCTATTTTTTAACAGATTCGCTTTAAATGCCTATGCCTTTAAATGCCTCGGCTTAAATATTGGGCCGCTACTTCATGCTCTCCAGATTCAGATGATTACTTTTTTATGCATTAATTTATGAATCGATTTAAGGCAAATCATCCCAGTTTGTGTCTGGTTTGTGTTCAGTTTGTGTTTTGTTTGTGTTTAATTTAAGTCAAAACAGTGTCTGTAAAATATTTTCAGCCTGCATTTTTTATGTATGACTTCCACACCGCTGCTGCTACTGCTGTAGCGCCGAAAAGGGGAATGGAGCCTCGTCAGGTAGCTTCGGCAACCTTTTGCTCCTCCCTCCCAGACATTTCATATGTCAAATGAACTTCAATTCAATTCAATTCAACGACTCTCGGGAATAAAGTGTACAATTATGTGAGATTTTGGTGTTTATGGATGAAAATCATTTCAGATAGGTATCTTTGGCTATTATCATCTATGTTTATTAGATTGGGTTGAAATGGCTAAACATTCGTATTGGTGACTAGTATTAAAAATTACGAGCTATTTCTATGTTTAAGAACTTCAACTCATTCGTATGTATATTGTTTGTTATTAGCATCTATCTTAAACAGTTTGGGTTCATATTGCTGTGAATGGCTATTGATGAATATAGTTGTCGATTGTGGACCATATTCGATGTTTATAAATGAAAATGACTTCAGCTGGCAATTATTGGCTGTAAGCATCTAGTTTTATTACACTTGCTCGAAACGGCTAAAAAAGCTATTAGTGACTAGTAATTGAAAATTTCAAATAATTTCTATGTTGCGGAATTCGAATTACTTCCAGTAACTACTGTTGGTTATTAGCATATATCTTATACCGATCGGCTTTAAATGGCTATCAACGGCGGTTTGTGAGTATAATTAATTCTACAATATTTCGGATCTTCTTAATGAGTTTGGCTTGAAGTGGCTACCATTGGCTTGAGCAATCTTGGTTGTTGTGTTATCTTAACAAATGTGGATTAAATTGGTTCAGACTGGCCATTAGTGACTAATAATGATCATGTTGTCCTATTCAAATATTTTTGGATTCATTTAAAGTGGTTATGTTTGGTTTTTGATCGCTGTTCCTCGCCAGATTTGCTTGAAGTGAGTTCATGTGGGAAATTGTGACTATTTGCTGACAATTTATGTGGTTGGTTTGCTTATAGATTTGAGTTCAACTAGCTGTGATCGACCATAAGCTTCTATCTTTGACCTGAGTGTCTTGAATTGGCTGCAAAGGCCATTACTGCATATTAGCCGCAATGTTCCCTTATTTCATACTGATGGCAGAGAACGACTTAGAGTGATATTGTTGGCTATTGTCATTTGTTATGAAATAAATCAGCTTGAAATTTTACATTATGACTACTAGTGACTATCATTCACAATACCGGCTGCCAATGCCCATAACCATTGATAGCCATTTGAAACGACTATTGCACACGTTAGGTGCTAATAGGGAGTAACAGCCACTTAAAGTCCTTCCCATCTGTAAAAACAAAATTATCATATATTTACGAATCCTCTTCACTAATAGCTATAGGCTGTCATTTCGAACCGATATAATTATAAATATATGCTCATAGCCAATAAAGCCACTTGGAGCTATTGGAACGCGTAAACATTGAAATAGCATATGCTTGTCAAGTATTCCCACCAGTAGCTATTAGTTGCCATTTAACGCCCATCCAGGTAATAGAGAGATGCTAGCAGCAAATAATAGCCACTTCAAGCCATTCCAGTAACTAAACACGGAAATGGTTTATAAATAATAATACTTGTTCCTAATAGTCATCTGTAGCCATTTCAAGCCAATCTAATAAAAAAAGTTGCGTACAGCCAATAATAGCCAATCAAATCATTCTCATCCATAAACACTGAAAGGGAACAGAATTGTCAGCTATAATCAGTAATAGCCATGCTAGCCATTTGAAGCTAATCTGTTTAGAAATATATGCTAATAGCCATGAATAGCAACCTAGTGTCATTCCAGCTCCTAAACTCAAAATAGCCCATAACTACCAACACAAGTTCAAAAGAGTCATTTGTTGCCATCTCAAGCCAGTCTTATAATAAAATTAAAGCTTATAGCTAATAATAGCCACTTGAAGTCATTCTCAGTTATAAACACTGAAATAGCACCTAATTGTCAATTACACTCACTAATTGCCTTTGCTAGTCATTTAAATCATATCTGGTCAGAAATAGATGCTACAACCATTGCCACTTGAAGCCATTCCAGTTGATAGAAAGAAAGCAGTTCATAGTTTTCCAAAACTAGATATTAATAGCCATTTGCAGCCATATCAAAAATATATATGTACAAAAACTAGATGCTTGTAGCCAAGAATAGTCAATTTAAGCCAAACTCATTCAGAAAGACGGAGCAAGCACATGATCGGCAATTATCTTATCAATGGCCATTGGCAGACTTGGTGACATTTACAGCCATTTTATGTCGACCTTATCAAAACTCTATGCTCATTACCGATTACGTTCACTTAAAGCCAATGCCATCTAATAATTTATGTCTCGGTATAAATAATACAAAAAAATTACCATGTTGAAAACTGGTAATTATTTGTTTGGATTGTAGACAAGCCCTATGCAAATCCTAACACCACTAACAGCACACTGCATTTCAACATCAAAAGACCAAGACGTCCAATATCACGAGCTTATAACTTATCCAATAAAGATATATGTAATAGATCAGCAATATATCTACTAAGTCAGACCCACTTGCTAGATTTCCGTGAAAATGGTTAATTCGCCACTCCCTGACGCCAGGGTCGCTTTCCAGTTCCGTCTCCCATTTCACTCCGGAGCTTCCTGTACATTAGTTTCCAAGGTATTTGATATTACTCTGCATGGAGCCGACGTCCACTTAAGCCTAATAGTTTTCAATACACGAGCTGATAATTGGTGTGCTTGTAGAATATATTTCAGTAAAAAAAAACACTTGTCAACGAAAGAGAAAACAACTATTATCTTTCTTGCTCACTCCTGTTTTCTCTGGTGTAAATCCCACAAGTATTCACCATGTATGTTCTTTTTTTGACAACATTAGCCTTAGGTGCACGTAGGCTCATGTTGAAACTGTGTCTTTCACAATTATATTCTGATGCAGGCAACGTCGTGTTTCAGGACATGACGTTAACATCCGCGTTATGTCCCCAACGGCCTGCGTAAATTCCTCACAGAATTTGGGCATTTTGCAGTGTATAGTCCATTTTGCCAGGCCGAAAAACACGGTTCTTTTTTCTCAAAATATCTATCTAGATTTCTCATCAAGTCTCAATGTGGCTGCGCTTATTCAGGTCTTATCAGAAGCGAAGAGAATATGGCGAGGGTCACGTGCTCGCCTGCGCAAGTCAGTGACGTTCATTCGGTTCCCCGTTCGGAGACAGATCTTGATTTTTCTTGTTTTGGAGCGTTTGGAACCACGGGAGCAAATATCTTCAAAACTGCGATGAGAGAAGTCGTGAAAGCTTTCAAAATCATCCCAAGATCGGCCCAATTGGCGCTGTCGACGGGCGCCACCCCGTTGCCATGAATTTCGCTTTCTATTGGAAAGCCCCAACTGACGAGAGCGCGGTCTATATTCGTAACTGCGAACAACAGCTTTTATACTGTGCACAAGCTTTGCACAAATATTCTCCACAACGGTCTGCAGGCTCCGGCCGCATGTGACCGCAACGCATTGAAACGCAAATATGTGTATCAGCGTTAATTTTGTTAAACTATTTGTTCCACCTCAATAGAGCAAAGCCCCTTCGCGAAATGTTGGTCGCCACACTGAGGCTTTCACAAGGTTAGTTTAGAATCGTCATGTGTTCGCTTAAAGGCCGACGACCAGACTGAAGTATCTGCAAGGCAGAATATCCTTCTAACCATGGGGGAGAAGGAAACACGCAACATTGGACAGGGAAAAAGTGGGAAAGGAGGAAACAAGGAAAAATTGGAAGGCGCAAACTGGTAGCCGGTCTTTCGGTTCTTTTGTTTCCTTAAGTGTTTAAGCCAAATCGGTGGTGATCAGTTGTAGTTCATTAGAGTGCACCGATTTGGGAGAGCGCTAGAACTCATTCGTATGCGCTCTTGTTGGTGAAAGAACGTCTTTGCAGTTCCTCCAGCTTAGTTTTAGCAAAAATCGGCTTGTGGCTTTGTGAAGGTTTGTTTGTTTGTTTACTGATTTGTACTTTAGCTTTATTTTTTCTCTTTTCTTTTTTAATTGTTTGTACATCTGTTTAAGGTGTATCTCTCTGTGTGTGTGTGTCGGTGCCGTCGTCTGCTTCTTTGAATTCTCGCATTTTTGAGCGTCTCCTTTGCATTTGTTTTTGTTGTATTAAGTTTTTCCCAGCAAGTTCGTTTATTTATTAGTCTGCCTTACAATACGTCTCAGCGTTTAGTTGTGTTCTTGCGTTTTTTTGCATTTTCATTTTGTTTTTACTCTTAATTTAATTGCCCACTATATTTGTTCTTCAGACCCGGATCCTTGTGAGCAACCAGGGCAACCAGTTGAAGCACATGAGTCTGTTGATATTGATGGAAAATAACACCCTGAGCGTCTACCACAGCCTCGAAGAACTGCTTCAAGACGAACGTGCTCCTAAGACACTAAGCATCGGGATTGCGGGTCAGGGGCAGAGGAGACCTGCCAAATCCGAGTAATGACATTCAGATATATATATGAGTGCATCTTAATTAACGAAATTGACTTAAGTAACCGCATCGAGCAAGAAAAGAAGTACGAGAGAGGGTAAGCTTCACCAACACCACCTAGAATAGCCAAAGCCCGTGAACTAGAAGTTTGACGTAATCCCAACGAGATCGAGCGAAGACAGATTAAACCCGAGTTCTGTGCCGGCTTTGGTCTGGGACTCGAGTTCATTCCACGCATCGAAGGACACTCGGCGTCATGCTGGGGTTCTCTTTGAGTTGCCGCGAGCCGATTATGATGACATTCCATGGGAAAAGAGAATGATGTTCACGGGCCTTAATTCTTCTAGGTGGCGTTCGCTTAGCCTGCAACTCCTCTCTGCAGTATAGAACACGGAGTTTTATAATTAGAACTAATTTAAAAGTAATTCAAACAGAAACCAAAAGAATAATAAGGATGATTACAAGCAATTTCTTGGAAACAAATCTCCAAGTTGAATTAAATCTATGACAGAATGAATAAAAACCTGCATCTAATTGGTACATCAATTGCAGCGTTTAGGGGGCCAATCTTCTCTGCAGGGCAACAGGTGCCAACGTTCTCGGTGTCGACGTTCATGAATGTGTTTTCGCGCCGGCATGCTTGGTAGTGGAATACTTCGAAGCCTGTAAAGACAGTCAAGCTCAGTTTGTACACGTTGCTACAAGAATTCAATTGTACTTACAATTATTCGTCGTTAAAAGTATTATTTTGTTTATCTGATTAGTTGAAAAAAATTAATGTATCATTATCTGAAAACTAACTGTTCTTTCCCGATTACTTCAGATTTTTTAAAACGATATTTTATTCTGCCAGTTTGAAAACTTTTTGTGACTGTTTTTGCATTCCAATTACTCATTCTTTTCAAATCCACCAGTTCTGGCAGCCCGCCCTTTTGTGGAAGGCTTGGTCCGACGATTCCTTAGTTGCAAACTTGTGGAAACACTTTGCGCCGTTATAAAAGGGAGGGGAAGACTTCTTTTTATGAACTAAGGGGCGAAAGGTAAGCCACTGGGTAGATAAGCAATTTTTCCAGAGCTTAACATAGGTCACAGTAGCTAAATATAAAAAGCAGAATGTAGCTACCCCGCCTGAAGGAAAGTTCACATTTCCTTGGGCCACGCCCACGCAACTTCACACCCACAAAAAAAAAATTAAAAAGCTTTAATTCGAAAAATGGTGCATTCTTGTAGAATGCCGACCACTCCTATTACATGTAACAAAAGGATAGCGGTTTTGTAATAACCTAGCTTTGACCGTAGCCTATGTTTTGTCATCACCTGGTTTTGCATACCTTGGAGACACCAGTGTGTAGAGGTGCTAGATTCGAATTTAGATTTGTAAGAAGGAAGGGGACGACTGTTTTCGTGGTTATTGAATACACAGGCGCTTCACTATTCACCAAACTTCGCATTGAAAGCTTATTGCGGAGAATTCAGACATCATCCTTCCAGCTTGAAACACAAGCCACTCTATAAACAGACCTGGTAAAGACCTTGACCTCGTTTTGCACAGTTCGCTTCCAATCGTTTTATTTTTGTTAGTCGCAAGATTTGGGCCCTAATGAAGTTGACATATCGCATCATTCGTTGTTCTAAATATGATGACTATATAATCATAAACTCGGAAAGCGAGGGGAAGGGAGAAGGTAGGTTAATATTATAACAGTTACAAGGTAATTTTATTACTTCCAAAGTAATAAATTTACTCTTGGAATTACTGCCAAATACAATTATTCAACTGCTTACAAAATTACTACAACATGTAAATGTGTGACGATTGGTTGTGGTCGTCAAGAGAACTGGGCTCCGAGCTCAGGAAAGACGCGTCAGCCTCCATACTTCCATCCAGAGCTTCTTTCTCTCCTTTTATTTTTATTTATTTTCCTCGCGCTCGCACGCGCGGCCACGGAGCTCGCACAAGTTGCACGAGCCGTCGTTTGCGGCTCGTCACATGCCGGTGTTTTAAGAAATGTCGGCCCGACAGTTCGCTTTCGTGAGACAAAGTTAAAACAACATTAAACAAATACCGCACTCTGGGATATGCAAGTGAGTGAATAAATATGCACATACAAGATGCTAAATGAGAAGGAACCTTATAAACAAGTGCACACACTATAAATTCCAAAAGTTCAGCCATCGGGTGAAGGCTCTGCAAATTCAGCGATTGGTGTAGGATACGACTTCAGTTTTTCCACGTGCACTACCTCGCAGCCTTTACAGTCCATGAAATCAATCCCTTAGTTCACAGGAGTGAGCCGGTTCACAATTCGGTGGGGGCCAGTGAACCGTCGTTTTGCCTTGAGCTTCACGGGTGGTGTCTTTAACAACACGAGCTGACCCTTCTCGAAGATGACGTCCTTGCGTCCCCTGTCAAAGTAGCTCTTTCGTTTCTGTTGAGTGACCTTGATGTGCTTGGCGGCCAGTTTCAAGCAAGGTTCAGTCCCTCGTGAACAAAGACTGAATAGTCCGATGCATCAAGTAGTTCAGCGAGCTCGTGGCTGCCATAAACGATATTAAGGGCAAGCACAGGGTCACGGCCGTAGACAATGAAGAAAAATGGCTGACGAACGGTGCATTGGAGGCCGGTACTACAGCAGAAGACAACGTAGCAAAGGACGTCAGCCCACTTGTCGTGTCCGACTGTAGTCAGATTGATAATCTACTTGAGCGTCTCGTTCGCCCGTTCGCAGAGGCCGTTCGCAGCAGGACGGTACGCTGTCGTAGGCGATTGCTAGATGCCACGTTGCTGAAGGTACACCAAAATTGAGCGTGCCATCATCTGAGTGCCGCGATCAGTGATAATCACGGATGGGCAACCGTGCTTTGGAACGAATCAACGCTCGATGAATTTCTGTACCATAACCACTTCAATCTTCCGCACAGGCTTGGCCTCAACAAGTTTCGTGAGGTAGTCGATGACGACGATGGTTTAGTCGTAGCTTCGAGATGTCTTAGATGGTCCAAAAATATCTAGCTCTACCGTTTGAAACCGGGAACGGACTTCAATTGGTTGCATCCCTACAAGGGTTGCCGCAGATGACATCTAAATATGTTGGCAGAGATCGCAATGCGTGATAAATGTCTTTACGTCTCCAGAAAATTTTCTGCGAATAGCTTCGAAGGTGCTTCTGACTCCCACGTGTGCGCCGTACTTTCCTCCGTGGAATTCGCGCAAACCTTCGACTCTCTTCGAGTCAGGAAGGCAGACCAAGAAATGTTGCTTGATAGGACCTTCATCCCTAATGTAAAGGACTTCGTCATGGACGACGATCTTGTGCTGTGCTCGCCTCTGCTGTTTACGTGTGTCAGTACCTCCGTCCAGAAGTGTGAAAATCTCCTGGCATTATGAATCCTCATGTTGGTCGCGATTACATAAAATGTGCTCTCGGTCTTATCCATAACCATGGGTTCAACTAGAAGGCAGTGGCAGTCGTAGAGCAACTTTGTGCCGCTTCCCTCTATCTTCGTTGATTTTCCTCGGACAGGATAATTCAGGGGTGCTTCAACAAGGTTTCGGCACCGTGGAGGTATCAGCTGCTCCGTAGCCGAGATGACATTATGACATGTCGTAGGCGAAGGAATCGGGAGGCTATTTGGACCCCAATCGATCATGGCCTTGCACGCTGTCAGGATGCTGTCACCCATAATGAACTTTCCTTCCTTCAAATGTGGGACTGCGATGGATGCCTGGTCGAGCGTCTGTCCATCAGCTGTCATTGTGGCAGTGACTTCGCTGAGGTTTGTGAGGAATTTACCACTTGCACCATGGAGACGGATAGAAGAAGGTTGAATCAGAAGGTGCAACTGGTTGGCGATGGAAACGTTGATAAGACTCCTCATTGCCCCCAACCCAGGAAATTTGTCAAAGGCTGTCCGTTCAGTTGAACCTGAATTGTTTCGGTGCTTACTGCTGCACCACAAGGGATGCGCCGAACTAGTAATGACCTCTCGCAGGCCTCAGAGGCATCATTTTGCAGTTTCCCGGTGCCGGTGCCGGGTGCTGCAGCGGACTCAAAGCGCTGTTGCCACTTCAAAGATTTTGGTGTGAACTCCGGCTGACACCGCGTGGCGAAGTGGCCACTCTTCTAACAATTGAAGCACAGCGGCCGAAATTCCGGGTGACGAAACGAAGATTGCCGACACGTGCTGCTTCTCTTGTTTCTCGCGTGAAGAAAGAGGCTGTGACAATGGCTTCCGTCCGCGTTCTGACGACGAGGCGGCGACCGGTCCTGCTTCGAGAGGGGGAAGGAGGGCGTTTTCTTGGTTACCTGCGCAGCTAGAACTGGCTGTGCAGCTACAGTCAATGCCTGTGTCTTTGGTTGGCTGAAGACTTCCTGGTCAAAGTATAGGAATGAGTCCAGCAACTAATCTAACGAAGCAGTCTGTAGAAGTAGTGCCTTCGTGCTTTGTCAGAGAGTATTAAAAGAATAACCATGCATTTCGTCGCTTCCGTATCCGGGTAGTTGCACTCGTCCATGAGCTCCAGTTTGCGGAAGGCGAAGTCTGTGCAGGGCTCTCCCGAACGCTGACTTGTGCCAAACATCTTCTGTTTCGCTGCAACTTTGTTGTCCAGGCTGTAACAACGACGGAAAGCGGTTTTCATTTGCTCTAACGTCGTTACCTTGGTTGTCTTTATGTGGTACCTGACCCACATGAAGCCCTTAGATGGTAGCTGGAATACAATAAATGGGATGGCCCTACTGGGTTCGAATTTAAGCGTCTGGAACCTGAAGTATATCTGGTGAAATTAGACGAGGATGTTATTGCTAGCTAAGGAACCGAGCTGGACAGCCACGCTGGTCAGCGACCTTTTAATCCGATTTGTTGCGACTGCAGTGTCCGCGGCTGACTCAGCTTGAACAGGAGCTTTTTTCTTGGGTGCCTTGGGCGTCCTTTTCTCGGCGAACTTGCTCTCGGGAACGTCCTCAAAAGAGATCGCGCTGCACAGCGACACTGCCGACAGTGTCCTCGAGCTCATCAAGACAATCCACGACAGGCGCCAGCACTCCGCAGCTTAAATTATCTGTTGCCTGTAGCTGTCTGTTGGTAGCGTCGTCGAAAGGGCGCGATATATCCTGCAGCCGATCGATCGGTTGCACAGTGGTCGCGTTCTTGACCTCTACTACCTGTAGGCGTTGCTGCTCCATCTCGGCCTTAAGGAACTACGTGTCACTGACGACTGATTGGTAAGCAAGGTCCTTGGCGTCGTTATCCAGCCTTCGCAAAACTTCGATGGAACGTTCCGCCGTCTTGGAGTTACCTTGAATCCTTAGCCGTCCAGGCAATAGTGGTTGGTGGACACCTGGTCGAAGGGAGCGCCGCTCCCATATAGGTTGTTAACGTGAAATTTCCGAAGACCCTGGTCCCCATTCGGGCGCCATATGTGATGATTGGTTGTGGTCGTTAAGAAGTTCCCATGTAGAACTCCTCTCTTTCCTCTTATTTTTATTCCTTTTTCTTCCGCTCGCACGCGCGGCACCGTATTTCGTTTTTTTTATATTGTTTTTTCTTTGTCTCATGTAGCAAGATTTGGACGCCCATTAGGTTGACATATCCCACCATTTGTTGCTCTAAATATGGTAACTACATAGTCCTAAACTCGGAAACTAAGGGGGAAGGGAAGGGGTAGGTTAATATTATAACGATTACAAGTAATTTTATTACTTCCAAAAGTAATAAATTTAGTCTTGGGATTACTGCAAAATACAATTATTCAACGGCTTACAAAATTACGAAAACATGTAGATGATTACAAGTATTTTGATTATTTCTGATCGGTGCATCGTGGACTTCACGATTATCCATAAATATTGATAAGATGAATCAGGAATACCAACTATAAGTTATTATACGTTGATTTTTTAATGACTGCGCCGGAAGTAAAAAAAAAAGTGTTCATGTTGTGTGTATATTTCGGCAGCTGGAACAGCAAGAATTCAGTCAACCTTAAAGGGAGTGTGGTGTTTCCTTTGTAGAAAAGAAATTTGGCGAGTGTAGCGCTGGCCACAAATTATTGCCACTTAATACTAAATTAATTATAGAAAAATACCAGTAATTTTTTTTTTTTTGGTTTTTAGCAGTGAAGCAGTGCTATCGGAGCAAGATGAATCGAACGGAAAAGTTACGCAGTTGGAGTCATCCACATCCTCTAAGGTAACCCCTTTTTGTTTTAAACCAGGTTCCGTGTCAATGTTTACAGGCTGTAGTTTGGAGAACACAAGAAAATTTGCTACAGCTGCCTAGATAATTCAATGTCATTGAGACCGAATGCAGTTAAGGGTACAAAAAAAGTAGAGGATGCCGAATGGAACATGCAGACTGGGGTACGCGAGACAGCTGTGTTTAACAGGACATGTAATTGGGGCACTGACAGCTTGAAAACATGCAGGACGTGGCATATAATGTGAACGCTTTGTAATTGGTTCTTTGACATACTTATCAAAAACACTTGGATCCTTTAACAGTGGAACGCGATACCGTTATCGGGCCCCGTTTGCAGCTCCTTCTCATTCATCGTTGAAGCGTGCCTTGCGTGGCCTAGACAGTAGCATGCCTGGCTCGTCACCGAAGTGTCGTGGTTTCGAATCTCGCCCAGCATCCTTCAATTGGTTTTCTTTAAGGCAGTTGAATTAATTTATAAAGCGAGATCATTCGGGAAATACGGTGAAATTTAATTCGTATTGCATGTCATGTTTTAATCGCTTTCATTTCATCCCTGGCGTCACGTTCACGTCGGCGTTGCTAATTGTTTGAAATTCTCGCGGGAGGTCGTGTGGTTGTGACGTCATAACCCTATCGACCAAGCAGGATTTTTCCGTCACGCCACCAGACGCCGGCTTTTTTGCGAGACGAGGTCAGGCTAACGCAGCTTCAAGGAAACCTCGGTAGAGGCCGCCAAGAGACAGGGTGACGTCACGATGACGTCAAATATGTTAATCACGCACTCCGGCCATTAGGACGGGCACAGCCGTTAGCATCCGTGTTACTTTGGGGCGCTCTTTCTGCGCTCAAGCGTAGGGTTCTTGTTTCCAACGCTTCAAAACACGGCGTTACGATCGACATTGGCGCCGGGCTACGGGGCCGTCGAGCGCCGCCGTCTGTGGCAACCGTGGCAACGGCGCAACCGGTACAACGTTTGCCGACATCCGATGAGCGTGACCCTGTGTTCCGGGTGTTCTGCAGAAAACGTGGTGTTCGCTCGGTCCGCGATAATTTGACTTCGAAAGTTCTTGTGCTCTCGGAAGAGGATGCCCTTGGTGCTACTGCGCTGCGAAATGGTGCGGGAACTCCAGCGAGTCGAAAGTTTTGTCGTACTTTCTATTACCAAAGGAGTTCAGAAGCGAGAAATACAGTTTCGTTTTTCGTCGGTTTCGTGTCGAGCCTGTTTCATGTGGTGCGATCCTGGTTGCGACTTTCAGTCTCGCGCGCCAGAAACCCTGTGAACACAGCACCTCAGCCTCCGCCCATGTTTGTTTTCGATTTTGTTTCCGTTATATAGGAGCGACGTTGCACTTGAAATTCGCTAGCAGATCGAGCCGCACCACGTGCTAAGCGCACAGGACGACACAGGCATTTTCGTGCTTTCTTTTTGCTCACGGACCCTTGCCTTGTCATGGGCAAGCTTGAAGAGTGTTTTCTGGCGAGCATTCTCAGTCTGGTATACAAGAATGATGTGATGAAGAATCTTTGTGCTTTCATGGCAGAACAGTCGGAGAAGCTTCTCTGTCCAGCAATCTGCTAGAAGTTCCTCCAGATGTTCTGCTATGAACCCTGGGGCATTTACGCCTTTAAAAAGAAGAGATCAGCAAAAACCTAATTTTAAAAGGTCTGCAGCTAATAGGTAAGCACAGAAGCCATGACGCGGGTGATCCATCAGCTGAGTAAAACAAAACAAATTTTTTGGTCTGCAGAAAACACTTAGGTTTCCGCTGATCAAAACTGTCGTGGTCCGATATCTTTTTAAATGTATATTTATTTAATTGTGTTCTTACGTGCTTCTCGTGTTATCGGCTTTATTGTTCCGTAAATTTTATTGTCTGTATACATCTTCTATTTCATGTACAAGATCTGTATGAATATTAAAGAATGCATGAAAAGTAAATGTGTGCTCCTTGCCTCATACCCCCTTGAGGAGCAGCTTCTCTGAAGTTGCTTTCGAGTGACTTCTTAAAAAAGAGATATAAAATAAAAGCCCCAGAAGATGATAAGGAAATCCAAGAGAAATAAAATCAGGCAAGAAATCCAGGGTGGGGGGGGGGGGGGGGGGGGAGGGCGGCGAGGTCCGCCTTGAACGTAGCAGTACAACTTGCGCCATCTAGGGGTAAATAGGGGCAGCGCGGCAGCAGTAGAGACGGCGATTCCAGCGCCATGTTTTGATGCGACGGAAACAAGAACCCTACGCTTGAGCGCAGAAAAAGAGCCCCGGGGAAACATGGATTGTAACGGCTCTACCCGTCCTAAAGGCCGTAGTGGGTTATTAACGTATTTGACGTCGTTGTGACGTCACCCTACGTTTCTCTCTTTTTCCTTTCATCGGTTGCTCTTTCTCTCACTTCTTCGCTCACTTGTACGCCCGGAGCACGGTACAATAGCCAAGGCTACGGCTGCGTCGCCCTGACGAGGTCTTTAACGCTATCGCGCTAAAATACCATAATCTAACTGGCGACAGAGTGAATAGAAGATAATTGGGACTCGCAACATCCTCCCTTTTTTAAGTTGTGAATTACTTTAGTTAAGGATTGACACCTGAGAAACGTTTATGGCCAACACAGGAGAACGGGAAGAAGATCGTGTCCACTTTGTTGTGCTCGTATCGGTTTGCGCACACAATTAAGTGTCTCCAGCCTGACCCTGTTGAAAGTTGCGTCTGCTAATCCCTTGGTTGGTAGATAACTTAGCTAGTGCAGTATGACTGTGCATCTGATCTCTTTAAAACGCATCAGGCAAAAAGAAAAAAAAAAACTGCCGGTCTAAAGGTTTGAGGTTCTCCTGGTGTTTCTTTTTATGATTTTGATGTTTCCGTGTTACTTCTTTGTCTGGCCCTTCATCATCTTCTCTGTTTTTAATCCCGAATTTCGATAAAGTGTTTTCGGTTCCAAGTCGTTCTGGCCTTTGCTGTTGGGTCACTTAAAAGACGTAATTTAATTTTGTTCCGTCAAAAGAGACGACAGCTCAGTGATGCCCGTGCAGCAGTCGAAGGACGGGAACTTCATGTTTCGTTATACCAAAGGACGTCGCTCTGTGAACTGGTGGAGCTGCGCTACACGAGTGTGTTTGACCACATGCCCGAACATAATGACGATCTGTCGATAGGCTGCAAACCAAAGGGAGTGCGAACGTCAATTTTACGTCAAACTTGGCATATCTAGAGCAGAGACCTCTGAAATAATTTAGAAGGCTTATGTCAAAAAACCAGTAAGGTGTGCTAGGTGTTTTGACTGGCTCTCGCGCCTCAAGACTAGCAGAACGTCCCTGAGGTCGAGGAGAGGTCGAATAATCTAGCCTTCGTCTTCGCCCTTCGTCTTCCGTCGATGTTATGCCGTTCCAGAAGCGCGTGCGCCACTTAGAGCACTTCGTAAAACTCACTGCTTTTTTACACAAGCGTGCTTAATCTTATCAAAGATCACTGTTTCATATTTGACGAGTTTCACGCAGAATTCGTGTTTGCTCCTTCTCTGGTTTGCAGTCTATTGTAAAATCGTCATTGTGCCGTACACGTGGTCAGAAAAACTCATGTAGCGCAGCTCCGAAAGTTCACAGAGTGACACGTTTTGGTATAACAAGGCAGAAAGGTCCCTTCATTCAACTGCTGCGCGCTCATCACTGTGCCGCCTTCTCCTTTTAAGCTACGAAATCAGTCCAGGAACTTTTTGATCGCACCTTGTGTGTTTTGCGTGATGTACGTATCGGCTAGAACAAAAATGGGTATCACCCTTAAAAGAATAATAAAAAATCTTACCCTGCTGAGAAACCCCATATGCAGTTACACGGTTCATATACTATATTATCATTTGCACGCAAAAAAAAATCTGAAAACAAAAAAAAATATTTTTGAACTTTAAATTTTTAAGTGGCTCATCTCCCTTATCATTTACACGTGTTATACAAATACAACTTGTTATCGGCTGACTTGCGCCGCAAAAAGTTCTGAAAAAGAAAGAATATATAATTTATAGTAGGAGTTCCGTGCTTTCGGAAAAATAAAAAAAAGCACCTACAGGAAGAATTTTCGTCCATTTGGATTTATCTAATAAAATTCGATTTGGAATGTGCCATGCACCCCTCCCTCAAAAAAGAAAAAAAAAAAAGAAGAAAAGCACGATGTTTTACAATTAAGTTTTATCAGCACACAGAGTCAATGACACTGGGAAAATGCTCCTCTTGTATGGGAAATCTTGGACCATTGTGTAAAGGTGTCGCTTATTTCGTCAAGGTTCATCCAGGACAACAGCTCATTGTACTCTCGGGTTACGACAAAAGCGACTGTTTTGGTTCCCAGTTTGAGCCATTCTATTTGTGCTTTAAGATTAAGGATGATGTTGTGTTTTTGTAATATTAGCAGCTGTGGACCTACAAAGGTTACTTTTCAAGTCCCCCTAGTGCGGCCGTGTGTAGATTAATGGAATAGAATGTGTCGAATACGAATTTTCCAGCTTCTACCTCCAGGAGTTTATCGATTTTAGGTATCGACGTTTATCGAAGCAACAATTGTGCGCAACTTTTGTTCTGGGACAAATTAGTATTTACAACGGCAATGAAACCAACTGAAGAAATATTAATTGGTACAAGCGCGTTTTACTTTTATCTAGCACTAAGTTTGCACTCGGATATTATATATTTGTTTATTTATTTTAATTGAAAACACAGCGAAATTAAACTTCAAATTTCGAATAATTGGTAATCAAACAAAGATACACTCCGATAAACGATAAACGCCGAATATGTGGGCCAAGAATAAACTGCAAAAAAATACCCTTCGAATTGAACGAAATATAAGCTTCCCAAACGCGGAACCTTACATGGGCCATCTTATCCACAAATTATTGCAGACAACCATGGCTACAGATGCTACCTGACTGAACCTTCTTCAATGAAAAAATAACTACACTCTGTTAAATGGTTCCTTAATATGATATTATGAGATAAATCGGTAGTGGGGTCACATGTTTTTTTATTGAGGTAGTCGTAAGCACTCGGTGCCGGTTTGTTCTTTTTCCCTGTCTTTGAGGCACTTGTTCTTCCTTGGTAAAATGGCAAACCCGTCAGTGGCAAAATAAAAAGCGACTTCCGTTTTTTCAGGGACCCTGGGAGGTCACGCGGGCCCTTTTCAGGTTTTCCGGCACGTTCATGCCAGCGGCGTTGGTATTTTTCATCGCCAGCGCTATAGCGCTCGCCTGGCAGCAGCTTTGGATCAAAGAGTGGACCGATGCCAACTCTCCGGACAACCGCGATGACCCCTACGACCCGAGCTGGGTGAAAGGACTGGCGGGCCTCTGCGTGGGTGACGGTACGTTGCCATTACTGCTACTACGTGCCAACAAAGTGTTTTTTATGCCAAAGTAATATTTTCCCACGGTAGCAGCAAGCAAGCAGTACGCCTACGCCCGAGCCCGTATATATTAAAGCGGAGCAAAGGTGCATCCCTGGATCCGCAGTCATTGTAAACGTCATGACGCGGCAGCGCATACAGCCCTAGCTAAACAAGTCTCGTCAATAACTGATTTATTTTACCGAATAAATGACCATGAATTTAACCCGAACGTTAGCTATAACCGGCTACGCTTCAGTGGGGTTATGGTAAAGGAAAAAAGGAACACGGTGATATGAGATACCGATACAATTATTGTAAGTGCGATGAATGACAGGTTTATATGACGCTGAGATTGACATCCCCGTGCTGATAGAACGCTCGAAGGGAAACTATAGTGGAAATTCAGATTGTATTTTCGTGATGCGAACTCAATCAACGCACGCTAAGCATCCTATGAAACCAAGAAGGCAATCACGCATGGCCTTTTCTGACCCTAACAACGCAAACTAACACCGCGAAAGACCCCGTTTTTTAGATTGTTAAGTAAAAAGGGGCGTGTCGCGGTGTTTGGTCGAGATTAAAGGGCGAACCGGGCCAGGCTCGATGGTGTTCTATTTGACTTAAGGCAGAAAAAACAAATTTGCGCAATAAAAAGGGGATATCAATATCCGCTGTAGTGTCTCCTTAAGAACGGTGGGGCGGTAATGCACCGGTGAAGACCACTATCGATGCGTTGTATGTAGACGTTTGCAACCACGGCGTCCGTAATTGTGCCCCGCGTGTGCAAGCACGTACAATAATGCGTGAAGATAGCTTTGGCAGGCATGCAACGGCTCGTGCTTGCTCACACGGGGAGGAACATTTCCGCCACCGTATGCGATTTTGGAATCGTCTATTCGCTCTTTCTTGCGTGAGTTGAAACGTGGTGACGTCAGTGTGCCAATTGCCCCCAACCAACTCCGACTCTGAACTAGATAGCGAGTTTCGCAGTATTTTCGGAATCAGATATACAAGCTATCTTCTAGAAATGTGCACTTATAGTCCTGTCAGACTTCATTCCCTCTCACCCTAGAACAATAAAGCATAAATTAAAAAAAAAAAAAAACTCTAAAGATGGCTGACATGTCGGAATGAGAAAGAATTCGTATAGACCTTTCCAGAAAAGGGCTGCTGGCCGGTTTCATTTTCAGTGTTCGTGCGTATCGCGCGTGATTTGCTCGCTTTCCGAAGCGACGCACACGCGCGTGCTGAGCTGTGGAGATCGCTCGCTGAGCTGTGGATTTGTAAACATTGGAAAGGTCTATACATAGCGTATTCCTACAAGCTGCGCGCCACGCTGAGCTCGGCCGTACAGCGTCTCCGGAGTCCGGCAATCTTGATGTTGCGGAATGCACGTTACAAAAGAACTTCGGAAGCTCGCCGCTAGCACGCGCTCAGCAGCCGCGCACACTAGGGAGCCTTCATACACTTTCGCCAAGTCTGTCTCCGGGTGGCGGCACCTCGGCCATTTCTGTGCCCAGAATGCACGCGCTTCGATCTCGTTCGGAGCGAGTGCTTTGCTCCGCCCGGTGGTTTGGCGCCATTTTAAGGCCCAGTTGGCACGCGCAGGCAGTTTTCAATACAATAATGGGTGTCTTCACCCATCGCACGCATATTTGGCGGGGGATCGGTGGCCGAGTGGGCTAGCGCACACCAGCTCGGAGCACGTGGAGCGAAAGCTCGCGCTGCAGAACCCAGGGATCCTGGGCTCAATCCCCATCCCTGCCCATTTCCATCTGGATGAGCATCGTTCCGGCGTTCGGTCGTGTATCACTATACTCTTAGAAAAAGGATATCATAGTCCTCCCTAAGGGGAGGAACGATCTTGTAACGTGTGTTCCTTTAGAAATGTAGAAACTTTCGTCCCTGATAAATGAAGCTTAACGAAGACGCTACGTTAGTAGTAGGAATCGTGTGCGGATTCGGCCACCTGTCAATCACAGCCCCAAGTGGGCGGGGCCAATCCCGATCAGTCACAGAGCAGCAGGGCGGGGCCTCTTCCCTCTCTCCCATCTCCGAAACCAATGACAGGCCATGGGCGGTGGCCAGTGACCAATCCGAGCTCACCGAGGCCCCGCCCTCGAGTCACGTGTGAAGTCCGTGCGCACAGGTGTGAAGTCCGTGCGCGGCACGTGCCAGCAGTGTGCCAGAAGCGTGGAACTTAGCATGGAATCACCAGGTGTTGACAGCCGCTGTCATCAGTCACGTACGCGGTGCGTGCCAGAAGCGTGGGAAAGACACGTATCAGAGATGTCATTACCACCGCTCTCGTCACGTGATGACACCCACGTGATTCTTCGGGTTCGAGTTGAGTCCGACAGAGGGCGCTCACGTGATGTCACACAGGGTTCGTGCTGTATCCGACAGAGGGCGCTGCGCTGCGGTCACATGACGTGAGCTTATTTGAATTATTGCACGGTAAATGACTTTTATTCGCTGCGGTTTTATTCGCTGCTATTTCGCATTCACCGAACGCCAATCAACGGCACCACTATCTCTCACTCACACCTTTAAAAACGCAGGACGGAGATTATTGCGCTTCATGATTTTTTTTGTTTGTTAATTGGCCTTTTATGTGGGTAATAACCCAATGTCACTGACGGCTGAGCGATAAAGCCTCGATCGGGACTGGCCAAGACCTGCGTTTCTTAATACTATAAGTGACTGAAAATGTCATAATATCGAACCACTCAGCATTTGCATCTTAGATTTTTCTTTTTTATTTTGTATTCACGTTAAGACTAATTATCTGCTCCTCCAATTTCGACCTCAAGAAAGTGGAATACTAATCCTTGCATTTTTCGAACTGCATTCAACAAATGGAGAAGCCTCCAGAAGCAACAAGACCCCCCGCATGCGCAATTTTGCGTTCAGTGTTGCCTGCGCAGTTGACGTTTTCGAGTTACTTCGTTTTTGCGGCTTCATCAATGCTAAACGCAGCGCAGAAACCTGCACACACTACAGCGCACACTGCAAACGTACACTCACACCATACACTCACTCCGTACACACGAAAAAGAGGAAAATTCAAACGAACCGCGCTGACTGACAGTCAGCGCGGTTTATATACCTTGTCTTCTTCTCATCATCATCATCATCATTTATTAAACCTTGAAGGCCATTGCTGGCATTACACAAAGCGGAAGGAACTGCTGAAGAAACGTTATATAAACGAACCAACAAAATAGTGGTTTACATGCTGGAAAACATAGTTATAAATCAGCAAAAACAGGAAAAAAATATTTAAAACATTTTTAGGGAAAAACAGCTGATGAAACAGAAAAATACCCAAATAAAACATTTCTATAAACACGAGTTGACTTTGCTATTAGTGCAAATGCAGATGGATGGTCAGTTGTGATATGAATATATTATATCCAAACTGATATACGTCTAGAACTACCGAATTTCCCGAATCACGTGCACCAATCTCCTAGAGGCCTAGATTTTTTTTCTTTGTCAGGTTCAAAGATGGCACTGATACAGTTTCCATAATTCCTGACGATGTGTTCGGCTTCAATAATTTCTCTCGATAATTGATCACTGTGTGTACCTAAAATTGTACAAGATGGCAGGTGAACCTCGAACCCGCATTTACGGCAGTGTATGCCCAGGCGGCCAGAGTTAGCTCTGGTGCTATTGTTTTTGTGTTCACGGAGTCTACTCTCATCTAGTGTCAGTCTAACTACACTCGACCTTTATTACCTGGGAAGAGAAAACTTATCTACAGAAGAAAGGCATTAGCATTGGGTCGCGCATAGCTCCAGTGCTAAGTGATCTCTACCTTGCCCACCAAGACAGACTATTGAATAATAGCCCTGAGTCCCCCAGACTTGCCAGAGTATTTCGGTATGTTGACGATTATTAAATAGTTCTTGACATCGAGAAGAGCAATTTTCTAACCACTGTGGCCAGTGTTCTGTCAACTTTCGAAAAAAATGGCTGGAACCATTGGATATTATTACCCATGAGCTTCTCGAAGAAAGATCTACCCGATTCTTAGATCTCAGGCTCCATTTCCGACAGACTCATATATGCTGGACATATGAACCAAGGGGTAAAAAATCAATTCTTCCTTTCAATTCGGCACATTCTAAGCTGGTAAGAAGAAGAATCGTAAAATGATGTGTAAACAACTCTCTTCAAAAATCTTGCGAGCCTCCATTTCAATAAGCTTTGATGCGCAAATTTTAAGATTAACTTCTGCCGGATATCCAATCTCTTTATTAACATCGATTGCGGAGAGCATCCTGAAAGCGAAAAATAAAGGAACATCTGTCACACCACGAGCCAGAGATGGAACCACGAGACCAGTCGTTATTCCCTACATACACAGGTTCTCGCATGACATCAAAAAATCGCTCATATGTTCAACATCGACGTCGTCTTCTGTGCTCTTAAAAGCTTGCCAACCTGTGAAAACAAGTCAACTCATCATATTCCCACCGAACAGCAAGCTGTACCAAGAAAGATCAGAACAGCTTCGTCGAGTTCTTTAAATAATTAAAAGCGCCGAAAAAGACAAGGACAAAGAAGTGGAACGACGCAAGGCGCACTCCCAACTGCTGTTTATTTCGAAAAGTACGTACATTTATAGGCCCCAGAACCCTGTTAGTCATCTGCGTGTCCCTCGCAATGCTTCTCTCAAATATTCAAACTCACCCTTTGACAGGGCGAGTGACGCTTCACTTATAGCGAGTTCGTTTCACACGCACTGGCACCGTTCGAGTTCTCTCCCAGAATGCATCGCACTCACAGAGTTTTGCACGGAAAACTGGACTCAAACGAACTCGCCAAATGCACCGAGTGCAGAAGACAGATGCTGCCGCCATCTATGTTGTAGAAAAGGTACCGACTTCAAACCGAAACTAGCGCCTTTTTGTTCCGAGTTATGCGTGGGAATGCGAGAATGCAGTCGCTACCAACGTTTATCTACAACCGTTGGCAACCGCAACCTGTAGTTTATACAGTTTATAGTTGCGATGTCTTCAAGCAGCTCGGCTGCCGTAGAGATAGTTACAGACGGTGTAAATTTCCGCGACCAGCTGTCTACAAAGCAGCTGGTTGCGATCTTTCAATCCTTGTAACCGTTTTCACTGAAGAAAACTGATGATGCTGTCCGAGCAGAAGCTTGATCCGTTTGAGCATGGTATTATGCGTGATCCACTGAAAGTGTACGGCTTAAAACTAGCCTGTTGGAATATCCAGCAAAACTGGGACTTTCGATTTGGATCGTCATTATAGGTGGATTAGATATTAGCCTTGGAGAGGGCGTCGAGAACGAGAGCTTTCTCAAACAAAATACGACGGGGCAAGTTCGCTGCGTAGGTAAATGTTAAACATGATTATGCTGCCCAATCCTCGGGTAAAGTCACCATCTTTAGCTTTCTGTGATGCTTATTGGGAAGTCAGAGGTTTATGCTGGGGGAGTTTTATCGACAAATGTTAAATTTTTTACCCGCACACGGATGGTGATAGACATCTCGGGGGCCGCTGTTGCGTTTGTTCTGGGCATTTCTTTACACACTGGTATATTTCAGCGTTTGTACGGCAACAGAGCGATTTAAAACCTGCAAATAAATCACGGGTTGTCAATTGCTTCCTTCGTGAAATAGCAGACGCTCACAATTCAAGCTCGCGTTTGATTTCGTTGCCCGCGGGACGCGATTTCTATCAGAAAATCTACTTTTTTTTCCGATCAGTTCCGCGACACATCGTAGCAGACGAACCCTCGTCGTCTGCTCCCTCTCCACGCCGGCCCCGCCGGAGCGAGGCATGACGAGATTACATTTTGGCGCACTCCCGATTTTCTCGGTGCAGCGAGTGCATGCACGCGTGGGGTGTCAGCGCTGAAACGAACTCGGAGAGTGCAACCACTCGTGGAGCGCCGGCCGAAACGAACCCGTTCCCCGCTGCGAGTGGGCACGCGTGGGCACGAGTGCCGTGAAGCGAACTCGCTATTATACACTCAACGCCCTTATCCCTAATTTTATACGCCTCGTGCACCTCTCTGCTTGTTCGGTCGCGATAACGAGCCAAAATCTTAATGTCATGTAGCACTGGCGTACACGGGCATCTATTACAATGAATGGCGAGATTCCACTTGAATGGCAATGAATGGCGAGATTCGTTCCACTTCTTTGTCCTTGTCTTTTTCGGCGCTTTTAATTATTTAAAGAGCCATGAACCAACTGGCCCAATTTTCCACTTTGCAGTTCGTCGAGTGCGAGGGGCCAAGTGGTGTATTCATTTCCCCTTTCGTGCGGGAAAAAGTACATAGGGCAGACTGGACGATGCCTTAATGATAGGCTCCGTGAACACAAAAACAATAGCACCAGAGCTAACTCTGTCCACCTGGGCATACATGATTGTGGCCTCGCACCCTTCAAAATAAGAGCCGACATACTGTTCTAAGTTCCCTACCGGAGAATCATTTGCGTGTTTGTACGCTTCATCTTCGAATGGCTTCGGGTTTCATTCAGTTATAACTCGCCGACCTTAATCCGTTTATACTAGGGTGTATACCTAAAATATCCTGACACTGCTTCGTCGTCCCAGTGCTCCTCCGGTGCGTGGGCGGTGTCCTTCTGACAGCAAGCATGCGACAACTGTCCCAGTCCCTGCACTACGAGATGCTGAGCCACGTGTTGTCCAGCCCCGTAAGCTTCTTCGACGCGACGCCCCGGGGAAGGGTGCTGAACAGGTTCTCGCTGGACCTCGACGCGATCGACGTCCGTTTCTACCTCTCGTACAAGGCCTGCGCTCAGAACGTCCTTCTGGCGATGTCCAAGCTCTCCGTCATCGCAACCCAGAGTCCCATTATCCTTGGAGTAGGGGGCGTGGGCTTTGTCATTCTGGTCTTCGGAATGGTATGTAGACACACTGTAAGCTAATTGACAGCTCAATAGTGAATAATTTTCTTGATTTAAATATACGGTTTAACATTGCCTTTTTTATTTTCATCGCAAATACTCAAATATTTGACCGTTCTCGGTGAGACATGAGTTGTGGCCCATGATAATATAATAACGTACACGGCATTATGTGAATTATCTCTCCTGGAGCATCATAGCCTTAGCTGCTATTGTGCCATAAAACACCAGCCTACTACTACTGCTACTATGTATATTATAATTAGAACATGTCTTTCATGACCACACGTCTTGTAAAAGAATACTTACTCACAGGGGAATAAAACCGTATGTGTTTTAAGCAAAATGCTTGGAATGATAAGTAGCAATTGACCTTTCACGTCATGTTTTGTGATGTATTTGTTTTGTTTTGTATAGATTCTTAGTTTGGAGTGAAATTGTGTCATTCCTCATTTATTTGTTTTGCTACCGTTGCTGCCAAAAGGGTGGCATGGCCCCGTCAGGCATTTATGCCTTTTGCCATGTCACCTGGGACATCTCTGTACAGTTATGTCTTAAATAAATGTTATCAATCAATCAATCAATCAATCAATCAAGTGATAATGCAAGTGCATACTTGCAGCAAACTTATTGAGTACATACTTTGAATGATATCTTCAGCGTCATTTTTTTTATTTTAAGAAAAATAAATGTGTGCAGAGAAACATTGACATTTCTTGACCTTGAGGTCTAAAGAATGTTTTTAAATAAGAGCTCTGAATAGCAAGAAGTGGGAAAACCTGGTACAGATGGTGCCATGCCTTAGGCTTGTGTCATGCAAACGGTGGTGTTTAGATAACGTCTTTCTGACGTACAGCTTTCTTAGATTGCTTCTCATCTCTTTTCGTTGTTTTAAACTAGCTCATATAGTCAAGCTAGCTCAATTCGCAGTATAAGGGCATCCTCAAACTATAAATGAGTCTTTCTCATACATCGACACCGCTTATACATTAAATAAGTCCTGAAGGCTAGCATCATACTATTTGTATTAGTTGAAACCAAACTTTATCTATCTCAAATATTCAACTCCAGATACTATATTTCAAATACGTTTGGTTCACTAAAGACAATATAACGTGCACGTCTAGGACGTAGGCATGCTAACCTTGTTGCCATAACATGTTCCATACCCCTGAATATATCCTTTTCCTAAGTCCACCGAGCAACATTGACGGTCGCCATTGCTTGGACACGAAGCACATGATTGGAACCGAGTCCCTTTCGCATGCTGACGTCAGGACTCGTCTTTAATACGAGCTGAGCCTAGTTAACGCCGAACTCTGACGCAGCTTTCGTGTCCAATATCTAGTCAGAGTATATATATCAGGAAACAATGTCGAATAGGCGTTGACGCAGACTTGTGAACAGGGCCCATTGCAGAACATGTTCCATGACTCCTTAGTACGGGACATGTTGTGGCAACAAAGTTAGCATACACGTGTACCGCACACCACTCTGGTGGTAACGTGCTGTTTGCTGCTGGCTGCGGGAGGTATGCCTGATGTTCAAATACAACATATGATCTGGTGGAAACCGTATGACACCACATTTTTCATTTTTCCATCACACTGCATTCTCACCATTTTTCAGAAAATGTCCTCCCCCCAAAAAAAAAAATTGTTTTTGTGCAAAAATGAGCTATGCATTGCCGAGTGCTCGGTCTGGTCCCACATTTACCGCAAACAGTCGGCACAGAACGCCAGTTTCAGACCTTGTCGTTATCTGGTAAAACGTGATCAGGAACATTCGGAAACTTTTATACGGGCAATGACTCATGGATATGAACTGCAAGAGCTTACGAGAAAAAGCCTCAGTTTCCCACTGGATATTTCCGCCAATCACAGAAAAATTTAGAATAATATTGGAACCCGTAAAACATTGTTATCTGTTCCGAACTGTTCGCGCTAAATGGCAGTTCAGACTGAACATTTGACAATAAACAACTTATTATTGCTCTTAAAAAAGACTATTTGGGGGAAGGACGCGGTGTACTTTTGAACAAGTTTTTTAAGTCCAGTTGTGTAGCTTGAACTATTTTATGAAAGTATGTCTATACTCCACTTGTGTCACACATACGTGCACAGGTAGCTGATGAAGACAAAGTTCCTCAGGGTACTGACGCGAAATCCCCTGTGAAAGCAGCTTTGGTGGTTGTCTACAATTTAGGCATGTATTAGGGATAAACTGTACTTCCAATTTTATAAAGATTTAAAGAAAGCTAAAATATACGTGATTTGTTTCTGATGGAATTATACCAATACAGTGGAGAATTTGTCAAGGACAGACAAGAGCTCACTGCTAAAATAATCGTAACATTTATTTTAAAGTTTTATAGTACCAGCTGAATATGTGAATAATCTGTGTTCAACTTTCTACAACGGAAAAAATACAACATATAAATGTACTAGGATTCGAAAAAACCTGAAAAAAAAAAACTTGGGTTACAGTGACTAGTGTTATCTTTTCTAGTGTTGCAAGAGTGTGAACGGGCCTTAAAGGCCCGTTCACACTCTTGCAACCGAGTACGACCGAGAGAGACCAGACCGGTTTTTAAGCCTTTTGCGATCTCTTAGGACCAGTTCCGCTGCATCGCATCTGGTCCTAAGAAGTTGCAAAAAGCTTAAAAACCGGTCTGGTCTCTCTCGTTCTTACTCGGTCGCAAGAGTGTGAACGGCGCTTAACAGCTGCACAAGCACTGTGCGGTCTTGTGAAAATAGTGGATTAAATGTACACCCACGTTGATAAACAATGGTTGAAGACTTGAAGTTGGCGCACGCCGTAACTCAACTCATTTATCAGCGAACGGCACGAATTGGCTCAATTCACTTGAGTGGCGTGATGTGCTATCGTCCTCCGTGCTCTTCGCTCCGCACACTGCGCGCGGCGCGCTGTCTGACGCGCTTGTGTGGCGATGTGCTCACGGAGTGATACAGCTAGTTAGGAAAGAAACGTTCTTGACAGTCGGATACACCCTCAATGTGCCGAAAATCGGCAACAAACAAATGAAAATTACTCTCTCAGGTACTTTTTTTTTTTTTTTTTTTCACGGGTGAAAGTTGATGCCCATTACCTAAATTGCTCATTTTCGTTTCTACGGTATAATTGCCGTTGGGTACGAAAACAGTACATTGGATTCAATGCCATAATAAGTACATGTTCTATTCTGCACTTTCGCGTAGGATGATGTTTTTAATAGCAGTGTAATAATTTAGGATCTTGCAAATACATTTGATGAAAGGTCATTATGGGGAATTAACAGCGCAAATACAACAAGGAAGGATAGACAAGGAAGCCAGTACAGCGCTCTATCCTGTCTCCCTTGTCTATCCTTCCTTGTTGTATTTGTGCTGTTAATTCCACATAATGGTCAACCAACCAGCCCACCTATGGTCGTGATTTTGATCAAAGGTATTCGCTACTCTATTTTAATTACCCCCACAGAATATTGCATTCATTATTTTATATATAATTGCCAACCTTCGAAAACGAATCTGCCACTTGAATTTTTTACGGGAATAGGAATCGGCAGGTCCTTGAGAACTTGAAACGGAAACAACCGATGACGAAACAGAAAAGGAAAAGCCTGGAACAAATATGAACTCAGAATGCAAACAAAAAATAACTGAAAGATGGGAATAGCATATGAGGAAAGGTACCGAAGAAGACACATCATGCTTCATTATTTGCGTTCTTATGTTTGACCAGTCTACGGCATAAATGACGATTTCTTTCGCCAGTCTGGTACACTCCGCGGAAAACGGTCTGTGGGGGAACGGAGATAGCTCCACGCTTTCATGAGGGAAGACAAAATTCAGGGCACAAGCTGCGGGCAGGATGAGCACTCAAAGTACAAGAAAAAGGTCATCCGAAGTTTCGCACCTTTCTAAAAGATCTTGTAAAGATTATTATAGGGAGAAAATAAAGAATTCAGCAACCGACAGGAAGATAGCAGCGCTTCTTTTCGAAGTCTAGTCACCTTTAATATATTGTTTAAGTAGCATACTTGAGCAAAGCGCGCTGATTCTTTAGCTCATCCCAAGTTTTGTTCATTTTCTTTAAACATTAATTTTGAATATAGAGAGACAGCGATCAGTAACAACGTAAGTCCAAGGTACGCGATATTAAATTACCACAAATGTGATTGTCCGCGATGTGGCTGCATGTACTATTTTTACTAATTTGTTTTGAAAATATAATATATTAGTGATGCTGCTTCTTGAACTGGGGCTGCATACTATCAGTGCCATTTCGTGTTCTCTTATGTCGATTGCAGATAGAGCACTATGTTGTTTCTGAAGTTGATACAAACTAGTGAAAGCGGAGGTACCTTTGAAATTAAGTTATATACCTTTTGAAGTATTTGTACTTTGCTCGAGATATTGTGTAGGGGGAGCAACTTACGTAGTATAGACTATGTTCTTTGTAAATCAGGTATTTAGTAACTTATATTCAATTCTTATGTCGAGTTTCTTGGTCAACAGTGCTTGAAACGCTCTCCCCCATGATACCAAGCAAAGCCGCCACCACGCTTTCCGAACTGTTTTGCTTTTTTAGGGTATTTTTTAGTATTTAATACGTGCTAATATTTACTGTAACTAGTGTTGATTACAGACACACTCCTCAGATAAATTTGACTCCATCGTGCCGAAGACAAAGAAGGTGCAGATGCATTGTGAGCCATATGACGCACCAGCATTTAACACAGCTCTCTTGCTGATTACATCCTCATGCACCAACCCATGTCACTGACAACAGATAAACTTGTCACTCTGTGGGCCGAAGCATGCAAATAACTCCTCCTTTGTGCAAACGCCGCACCTCCTTTGGACTAACACTGCTGTCCGTTTGAAATGACCCCCTGGCATGTAAGTTGCGACATGCAACAGTAGTCACATTCACTTTATAAAAAAACAATGTATGGCTTATGTCTGTAGCGCTTTGCTTTGTATTTTGCACTTTGGAGTTCGTGTCGGCTAATGCCATAGTCTCATACCTAACAGAGCGATAACAAAAAGCTGTGAATTTCGCATACCCTAAGGCTCGCACGCGCACAGAAACTATGTTGTTTTGCTTTGCAACTGTGCGCTGGTTTGGTGCAGCGTCTCATCGTTCGGGCAGCCAACGAGGCTCGCTTCGTCGAAGGCGCATTCTCGTCTCGAGTGCTCCAGCACCTCACGGAGACGGTGGACTCCCTCAGCACCATCCGGTCATATGGGGTGGTGGAGCGCTTTTGCGGCTGCTTCTGTCGACTCGTGGACGAAAACATGGTGCCCTACAACGCGTTCGTCTGTTGCCTCAGGGTCGGCAAGGCCCTGGTTGGTGCAGTGGGCTTTGCAGTCGTGTTTGCCACACTCCTAATGGCCATCTTCACTGCCACGAGCGGCCCCAGTGGTGTCGGCTTGGCTCTCAGCTCTTCACTGTCCGTGAGTGTACAAACAGGCTTTCGCGAAATAAGCCTCAGATGATTTAGTGTCAATTTTACTGTTTGTAGGCTCAAATAACCTGAAACATACTGAATGGGCGTTTGCCTGAGGAGGTATTATGAGACCGTAGTATCAATATAGTAAATTTAAAATCACCAAAGTTCATCCGGCGGCGAAACAGTCAGACGCCACTTGTGCATTTGTGGCTAGGTTGTGAATCTTTGTTCACAAATGTCTACTAAAAATTTGTATATAGGATGTATCCAAGCAGCAGTTCTTACTTCAAACAGTGAGAGAGTACAATACCAACGATGCTCGATCAAGGTGGCTGGTGATTTTATACAACTCACAATCCCGTTTTCATAAGAGAAATATTCCATCATCGGTTGCTAACTTGAACGTAGTAGCACACCCGGCGGAGATATTTGGAGGTGTTTGACAATAATATTGACGGCAGCGTTCGTAGTTTCGCCAAACGATCTTATCCCAAGTGTCTTCTGCCTCCGAGAAACATTTTGAAGCTCGTAATCGGACCAGCTGTCTGTGACCTGTAGACGTGCGATTTCTGCGGCCGCATGTTCGTTAACGAAAGTCCAGAAATAGTAAAATGTCTTAAATCGCGGGACGCGTTTGTTCTCAAATATTTCTCCAGAGAACTGTTTCCAGACGTTATGTCAATTGCCAATGTCGCCATGTACGCGCTTTAGCTAGAGTTTTCGAACCTATACTCCACAAGTGGGGAGCTCTTTTTCTGTTAAGAGTTGTCAATTTGCCTCGTCATCGCTGACGTTGTTGTTTGTTTTTTTTTGTCAGAAAGTAGACACTTAACCCTAGTGCATGCTAATATTCGCGTAACCTAGCCCTGGTTTTTGACTTCACTGAGGTGTATTCATTGACAAGGTACCCATTAGAGGCGTAATCTAATACCATGGCGTTCATTTAACGTAACTTATTGATGATCGAGCTTAGCGTCTCCTGGATAAATGTCAAAGTAGTCAAATCTGCAGTTTCGATGGCTGCACTAGTCAAACGGTACGCGTCTGCTTTTGACGTTTTAAATTTATAACATTCTTATCACATGATGTTTCAGTGGTATTGTCGACGGCATTGCCTCTGATCTACACGCGCTTTCGTGTTGAGGAGACGCCAAACCAAGTCACAAACACCTGCAAGTAGCTTTTGCAGCATGGGAGTGCAGTGGAGACCGCGCTGACCTTGAAAACGAGGCACAAGAAAGTTGATTCCCATTAGAAACTATTCGAAGGAAACGATTCTGCTAGGCTGCATCTTCAGGGTTCATGGGTATGGAGCCTGACGTCCTCACGTTACATAGCTACGAACATGCGCCTTCTGGGTTGTGCAGATTACACGCTCCTCTTTGAATATGTAAGCATTAGAAAGGTGTAGTACCACATGAAAGCCTTTTCACCTCTCCTTTATCACTTCACTGCAGCGACCTAATAGACAGCACCCTCCTTGGGTGGGAACGCTTTCAGGAATCGCAAACTGAAGGCGAGTACAATGCACCAATGACCCCTGTCAAGGATAATTAAATTGTTAAAAAATGTCTTAGTCCGTGCACTAGTCCATGACTCCAGCAATGACGTCTGGTTGGCAGCACAAAATGACATCAGTGACCCATTTCTTTACGACGTCAGTCATTAACAAAGCGGCGTCTGCCGCAGTCATCACGCGTTGCTCTGCGCCAATGGCTGCGGGCCGAAGGCTAAAGTTGAATTGCCAGCACGAAATTTTATGTTTGTTTTAGAGACGCCTTTAGACACGCCGCTTTTCCTGTCTGACGTTACTGAAGTTTATATAATAGTCTTTAGAACTCCGTCATACAGTCGAACCATGGCCTGCTGCTTGTCAAGGGGATAACATCCGAGGTTTTCGCAACGACAAGGGTTAAAATGAGCTGAAGAAATACGTGATAGTGACCGTGTTTCTCTTTTTCCCAACCATTCCCAACCTGTAATTTTATTATAACTATGAAGAGTTTTATTAGACCGTTCCTATAATTTCAATCAGAAATTCCGATACTCCGATGACGCCTTTTTCTATACATCGTATCATTAGTGGTTATCGTTATCGGGGGTATACCCTCAGCCCAATCAACTTTGATGTGACTTATTCCGCCATCTAGGTCAAAATATTTGCAACATTGGGAATGCCAAACCGCCCCAAACGTGCATCGGGACGGCGCTAATGGTCTTTGCGGTTTTCGCTTTCTCCGACTAAACAAATCACAAAGAGAAAAACAAGAAAGAAAAAAAGCTTATGATTGCGGTGATTTTAGTGTGGTCGCCCTAAAAATATATACAGGCTCTTTTCTTTATTATTATTCTTTTAGATTTGTTTTAAAAAAGCAGTGAAAGCTACACTTATGCGGTTTGTGGAAATGAGTTATACGACCAGGGCAACATAGTATAGAGAGATACTCGCAACTATCAGTCTGCTAATTTAGTAAAATTTGTTAAATAACTTCTGTGATTTTATACTCTGCTGGACTGCCCCACTTTTTCAACATGCCTAACGACGCGGAGAATCGAGAGTGTATTGTGTGTCTAAAATCTCTAGGTTTGGATGGTCAGGGGCTGAAATGCTCCGTCTGTAACCACTGGTATCACATTGGGAAATGTGCGGGGATTTATAAGACTGCTCTGAAGGGGCTTTCTCAGGAGCAAATGCTTGCTTGGCAATGCTCTACATGCAAATTGCACTTCGCTCGGCAATCTTCAACTGATCAAGAGCCTACTCAAAAACAGAGCAATCCGAATGAACCGGACATTGCAAAACTGATTTTGGACATGATCTCAAAGCTGACGGAAGTACTTGGTCGTCTTGATTTGATGGAGAAGTCGATCGCGGTGCAATCAGCCAGGCACGATGCTGTGATTGCAAAACTTACGCAGCAGGAAAAAACAATAGAAGGAATGGAAGAATCAAGGGAAATGTTGGGGTCACAGTACGATGAAATTCTTAAAAAAGTAAAAACTCAAGAGGACACCACTTTGGAACTAAACAAAAAAGTGAGTAAGATGGAATCCGCAATGTCGAAGCAAGAAATGGAAATCCGTGAACTTAAAACAACCGTAGATAACATGGAACAGTACTCAAGACGAAAAAATGTAGAAATCCACGGCATCCAAAAGAATGAAAATGAGAATCTACTTGAAATGATCCAGTGTCTCGCCAATAAACTGCAACTGCCTGTACCTGCGACGGAGGATGTCGAGGCTGTACATAGGTTAAGTGCTCGAGAAGGAAAAATTCCACCTATTATCGTACAGTCGGCGGCAAAAGTTTGCGGGGCGCGGGAGCGTCAGCCGAAACGACTGGTTGCGCCTTCTGACGGCGCGCGACCGCTCTCAAGAATTACGCTTCGAGAATGTGCTTCCTTTCGTGCTTGAAGTCTTGTCTCTTTTGGTCTCTTCCGCCCGACGGGCACGAGATAACCGGGACCGGCGCAAGGTGCCGCTATGACAGTCATCATTCCGCGCGTCGGCCTCAGCCACCGTAATGGGTGACGGAGCTCGGGACTGCTACAGATAACGTTTCGCGGCACCTTGCGCCAGTCCCTGTTATCTCGTGGGCGTCGAACGGAAGCGAGCGAAAAAAGCATGACTGCGAACAAGAAAGGAAGCGCATGCGCAAAGCGTGAGTCTTGAGAGCTGCAACGCGCCGTGAGAAGGCGCAGCCAGTCTTTTCGGCTGGCGCTCCCGTGCCCCGCAAACTTTTGCTCCCGACTGTACGTTTCAACGAGCGTTCTGCCAGGGACCAGTGGCTGACGAAGCGAGTGGCACTCCGGCAAGAAAAAATATTCATTAATGAGAACTTGACTAAGTCCGTCAGGGAACTGCTTTGGAGTGTGAGGCAGTGTGCGAAAGAGAAAAACTACAAGTATGTATGGGTCAAAAACGGGAAAATTTTCGTTCGTCAGAGCGAAAATAGGGCAGTCATTCGTATTAACCGTCAGGAAGATTTATTGAAAATCGCTTGAAATGGCAGTGTCGTTTGAAACGTTTTGAGAGTGGGAAACCCACTGGAAGGAAGCCGTCGTGGCATCTCCTAGCACCGAGGTAACCCTAAATATGTTACACATCAATATCAGAAGTATACAAAAACACTGGAATCATTTATTAGTTTCCCTGGCCGATCATGTTGACAGTTTGGATATTTTAATTTTAACAGAAATCAATACTACCATATCAAACGTCTCCTTGTACTCTCTAGATGGGTTTCAATCGTTTTCACTGTGCAGAGAAAATAGAAGAGGGGGCGGAATACTTATGTTTGTTAAAAGTTCTTGGTTCTGTGAACCAGTAACCACATCTCTCACTCAAGCTGAAGTGCTGGTCACTGCTATCTCAAGACAGGACATTTCATTCGTCATTGGCGCTTTTTACAGGCCGCCAAGTTCGAATATTACCTTATTTTTTGACGAGTTAGCAGGATTACTAAACACGTTTGGCAATGATAGCCAGCTAGTGTTCGCGGGCGATTTTAACATCGATGTAATGAAAGTTGCGAACAATGAAGTTGCAAATTATCTGAGCCTGTTATCAGGTTTTGGATTAGAAAACTTGACCACGAATTTCACAAGAGTTTCTTGGTAATCGGTTTACACGTACGGCGATTGATCATGTAGTTGTGAGACTAAATAAAGCAAAATTTGCCTCTGGAGTAATTAAGCAAAAAATTGCAGACCACTATTTTGTATCCTTTATAGCATTTTGTGGCGCGCCGCAAGATGACATGGTTGATCAATACAGCGTGATTCTAGACAGAAGAAAACTAGATAATTTTATTAAGCAATTTGACTGGAGTAGTTTACTCACCATGGATCATATCACTGCATATCAAACAATGGTGGCTCAATTTGAATATATATATAACAACAGTAAGAAAAAAATAAAAATAAAACAAAGAAAAAGCAGAAATGCGTGGATTACTGTAGAAATAATGGAATTGTGCCATGAAAAGAATATACTATGAAATCGAGTGAAAGCTAACCCAGCAAACAGCGCACTGAAAGCGGAGTTTAGAACCTTACGGAATAAAATAACTGCTGAAATAAGGCTAGCAAAGAAAAGGCACTATAGCACTCGTTTGCAGCAAAACCAAAAAAATCAGAAGAAAACGTGGCAAACTGTGCAGGAACTAACTGGCCACAAGAAAAAAGAAAGCATAGATGAAACAATTAAGAAAGCGTTTAGTGATACTGATTTGAATTCACTAAGTAACAAATTTAATACTACTTTTGTGCGTAGCGTGTCAGATCTTCATTCCCAAATGAGGGGTGTTCCGGACTTTGCATCCAGCCCCGTTAGTGGGTGCGGAAACTCGGCTTATTTAACACAGAAGACAGAGGATGACTTAGTGAAGATTATCAAGAATATGGCTCCAGGCAAATCGCCAGGAGCTGATAGGATTCGCCTAAGAGATATATCGGCAAATTTTGAGCACCTAAAGCACGTACTTCTGAAGATAATCAATTCGTGCCTTTCTACTGGTCAGATCCCCAACGGCCTGAAGATCGCGGTCGTGCGGCCCATCTATAAGAAAGGTAGCCGTAAAGTCATATCGAACTACAGACCAATTTCTATCCTGCCCGTGATTTCATTGATACCGGAAAAGTTCGTTTTCAACATAATGACTTCATTCTGTGAGAAATACTCCCTGTTATACCCGTCCCAGTATGGGTTTAGAAAAAATAGAGGAACAATTACGTTATTGGAAGATCTCTCTGACCATATCCACAAGAACATAGATAACAACAACTTTGTGTTAGCTCTCTTTCTGGATCTAACAAAGGCATTTGATTCAATTAACCACAAAATACTGATAAAGAAATTACTACGCATTGGCTTTAGGGGCCCTTTTATTGAATTTTTAACTGACTACCTCTCGGCCCGTCACCAAATGGTAAGCATTTGTGACGTTAAAAGCGATTTATTGCCAATTAGTACGGGCGTCCCTCAAGGTTCCATTCTCGGTCCTCTTCTTTTTAATATTTATGTAAATGACCTTGGCAGTCTACCATTTTCTTCGACGGTATATCAGTACGCGGATGACACTGTTCTGGTTTTTGCAAGTAATGACGAAGCCACAGCGTTATCGTATTTTCAACGCGATATACATGGGTTGATGGCTTGGTTCAGAGCTAACCAAATCTTAGTTAACGCGGACAAAACGAAACTAATGCATTTTTATAATCCTCACAAAGTATTAAATTTGTCTACGCCTTTAATGCTACATGAGTCTGACTGCAGAGACTGCGAATGCACACCTTTAGAATATGTGTCATCTGTAAAGTATTTAGGTCTTTTTTTTCGACAAATTTTTAAACTGGGGCACTCACATAGACTACCTTGCGAAGCGTCTTCGCGTGGTTTCCGCATACTTGTTTCATCTGCGTATGGTATCTGACGTAAGTTTACGGATGAAGGTGTACCAAGCGTTAGGTGAATCGGTGCTCCGTTATGGTATAACGATATATGGAGCATGTTCAAATTACAAGAAAACAAAATTAGATAATATTCTACACAATGTGTCCAAAAATATTGCGTACAGAACAAGGTGGAGCGGTGTAGATCCTGATTTAAGAATGAGGTCTCTTCAAATTCTTTCAATTGAACGACTGTACATCTATGTAGTTTGTCTAAAACATTATTATAACGACACATTCAAGGTACCATTAAAAAAGCAAAGAACACTAAGGAAAACAGAGCGGTTTGTTCAGCCTAGGATTTTTACGAATTACGGAAAAAGAGTAAGATCATTTTATGTCCCACACTTTTTTTAATAAATTACCTGACGATCTATTTTGTTTACAGTCATTCAGTGTTGTTAAAAGATGCCTAAAATATTGGTGTCTTACTCATACTAACCTGTTCAGTGCGTGCGTCTCAGTGCAGACTTTGTTATGTTTTAATATGTGTGCGGTTGCATGTGCAGTTGCATTTTGATATTGTATAATTTTGACTTCTGTTGGCTGTCGGGACCCGCCCACAAGCACCCTCGTGCTTTTGCGGGCCCGTACGTATCTGTATGTTTTCGTTCGGAAATAAATAAATAATAATAATAATAATAAAAAAAACTAGTGCAAATAGACACACAGTTTCAACTAGAAACTTGCTTACTAACATAGAAAACCACTAAATCAACTCTTTTAAAAGGATATAACGCGGGGGCAGCGTTTTACGGAGTTTTGTAGAAACGCTCCATTTGGACGAGTTTCTAGATTTCGGTTACTTATCGGAGCGCATCTTCGCGCCCGCGGTCCTGCTCCCCGGTGGTCGCGGTGTGAAGCCAATCCATCGCTTCCCTTTTAGAATGGAGGGAAGTAGTGCGCTTGTGTGGTGCGCGTCTCAGCCGCTGGGACGCAGGACCGCGGGCGAGTAGATGGGCTCCGCTAAGAAACCGAAATCTAGAAACTCGTCCAAATAGAGCGTTTTTACAAAACGCTGTAAAATGCTGCCCCGGCGTTATATTCTTCTAAAAAGAGTTGAATTAGTGGTTTTTGGTGATGCTGGGCAAGTTTTTAATTGGAACTATATATCTATTTGCACTAATTTAAAATTTAATTCACAAATATTACTTAATTAGCCGATTTATAGTTCCGACTATTTCCTATACTATGTCCCGCTTGACGTATAACTCACCTGCACAAACCGCAGAAGTGTAGCTTTCACTTTTTTTTTTAACAAATCTGAAAGAATGAAGAAAACACCCTGTATGTATTGTATATTTACTTCCCAACATATTTCTATGAAAAATAGTGTGCCGAGGTTCTGGATATTCTAAAGAAAATGTTTCCATCTTTTATATCTACGGCTTTTCGGCCGCTTTTTCGGTTGACGCGCTATGTAACTTAGTGCAAAGAGCGTTCATGGAAATTGTATAAAATATATACAACACAGATAGCAATTCCAACACCTTTTTTATCCCCTTCATATAAAAAATTAATCAGTTTTCCGCGAAAACATAAATAAATCATGAATACTAATTTTAGGTTTGTCACGATACATCTATAGCGATACGCAATCGCCACTTGCCTTTACCGGGTACGGAGATATCACAAATACACTCGCCACAGAGCACCATAACTCTAGTAATTCAGTTGTGTTTAACTTCTCCATCTACATATGTGCCCTATGCTTGAGAGGCAATAAATGAACGAGGACCATCCCAGAAAATGAAAATATCATCAGTGCGTTGCTTTGTTTTTCCGCAATAATTTTTAGAAAATGCGCTTTCTTAGAGTTAGTGAATATACTGACTGTATATCGAACTAAGGAACACTGCAAGAATCGAAAACTATTTGACGCAGTGGAAAAATGCACCTTTCCCACTGGATCCCGGTACAAATTGGGTCTGACGCCGCTTGTCCGCACTGCATGTTGATATTATTGCGAAAGCGATAACTGTCCCATGAAGCGAAGACTGCGTTCTTTGCAGCAGCAAAACGAGCCTTAAATTCCCATTGGCTGCGACGCACATATCAGATGCTTTCAGTGAAGCCGACGGGGCCGTTCAAGGTCAAAGCGAACGCGCCTCAGAAATACAACACAAAGAAAAGCAGGGCAACGCAGATGCATCGTCACGGATGTCGTGGAGCCGGCGGGGTTTGCCGCGCATGCGCAGTGGGAGAGCGTGAAGGCATCGCCGGAGCGCCGTATGAAAAAGGAAGACGTGGCGCGCAGATGGTAGGAATGCGCAGCGTGTAGGAATGTTTTCGCATTCCTACACGTAAGTATTCTTCAGTGTCTTTCCGAAGTTGTTTTTTTTATCGACTCTAGTCAATTAAAAAGTAAATATAATTATGGTGACAGATATTCTGTAAAGAAGCGTCGATTTAAGTTTTGTATAACTTCTAAAATCTGCATTCTACAAGCTTCGGTTGAAAAAAGCGAGTCCATGAAAAATCTATTTAAAATAGTCAATACACCGTGACTAGATAGGAAGTCGAAAGAGTCGTTATAACGTGGGTAGTATTTCTCTATACTTCCTGAAATATATCGAAGGGGTGATGGTTTAGCCCGTAAATGGCAAACCTACAAAGACAGCTCACTTACGATTCACTTTTGACGCTGCTAGATTAACTCCGCCGAATCGTGGTGTCGGCTCCGAGCGGACTTCAAGCCAAACGGAGTATAAAAAAGCTGGGCGGATATACGGTTTAATTAGCTTTTAAGGTGCAGAATAAAGAGTATATGTGTCTAGTGCGTATTGTACCCTCGGGCGTATTCCTTTTGTCTAGGAGTTATTTCTGTTATAGCGTATTCACGACATTAAATGCAACAAGTTAAAGTATTTGAGTGATGGCGACTTCAGCATAAAATATGTTCACCAGGAACGTGAGGTCCCCGCTCAATTTCGTGCAGACACAAAAATATTCGAACGAAGTGCAGCTAATATTAACATGGTTATTCAAACCCTTCTTTTTTTTTTAATTAATATTTTTGACACAGATCCCCATGATTCTGACGTCTCTGTTTTTGGCGCTGTTCGGCTGCTTGCAACAAATGGCGGCTTTCGAGCGTGCTCTGGAGTACACGGAACTGCCACAAGAGGTACGAGATGCGTAAGAGAGAGATTGCATAATCGTGTCGTTATCGATTTTCATACTAGTATATGGAGCTTCTTGTTATACACTAATTGATATTTTGGCTCGATGGTAGTTAGAGTAAATATTGTTAGCAAGTATCCACTGACTGTTGCTTTTTTTTTTCTTGATTGAAGCCCTCAAATTATTTCAACCTCCTTCGCGCTGGCTTTATGCATCCTGCTTCATACTCAATCTAGGTGGGCATATTTAAGGCACTTGCACATCTGTGCAGACGCACAAGCAATCGGTCATTCCGCACGTGCTCCTGCAACCCGTGACCTCCCGTCATGGTTCATGAGCGCCACACTGATTTTTTTTATATTCCTAACGAGCGTGTTGCTAAGATGTACTAGATAACAGAAAGTATAAAATAGAGAGAGGACTATGTACTCGTCTGTCTTTTGTCCTATCTCTGTTTTATACTTTGTGTTACCTAGATTTTTTTAGTTTACGGTGTTTAAAGCAGTTCGCGACTTTGCATTTGGATGTGCTATAGTTTGTTGCGTCTCCTTGTAAGAACCTACGACAAGAAAATACACAGCGACTCTGCTGCGATCTACCAGATAGCCTTGTAAAACTGATGCAATGTGAATAACTGGACTGAATGTTCACGCAGTTTCGGCGAGATCGAATCTACCTTCATCTTTGAGAAGTCGTCGCTTATTACGTTGTCAGAAATATTAGAAGAGCACGATGTAAGAATTATAAATAAAAAATCATAAAAATATATGCTCTTGCGGGGAGTGTCCCACGGGCTAAGTAATAAATGGCACCCGGTTTTTCTTGTGTTCTCTCATGGAAAACAGGTACAAGGAAAAGCATTGCACTCTAGAGTATTCAAACGCAAATATATGAACCAGCGTTTATGCCACTCGTGGGAAGCGAGCCACGTGGCTAGGCACTTAGGACCATTCCAACTGATTGCTTTGATTGTCCTAAAACGTAAATGAAGCTCGGTAAATAAAGAAAATAATGTTTGTTCTTCTCATGCGTATCAGCCTGATGTGGAGATCCAAGAAACGTACCAGGAGAGCAAGAAGAGATCGGAGGTCCTTTCGGTTCTGCCGGTGGATCAGGAATGGCCCACGGAAGGCAGGCTGGAGTTCCAGGACTACGCAGCGTCTTACCGTCCAGGCATTTTACCCGATGTCCTAAAGGGTGTTACGTTTGTTGTTCAGCCACAAGAGAAGGTGTGTTTTTGTCGTGCATGTTTCTTTTGTTTACCAGACTTTGAAGTCAACAAACCCCTATCCCAGTGTTGCGTAAGAATTATTTTTCCTTTTTTTAGGAGGTTAGTTATATACTTTATGATCATTCTTTTCTTTCGGTATAGTATTTATAAATTATTGTAATTTCTATGGACCGCGCTTTAACTCCTTTCTTAAAATATTGCCGCTTCTCAACGGAACTACTTGTCACCTCTATAATCAGGAATGTAAGAGTGTTAATCGGCTTTGGCAAAAGTCGGCCCTTCTCCGTATCAGCGTGGCAAGGGTCGTGGTAACACTGAATGGGATGTGCTAGTGTGGAGAAACCGTGTACACATCTGGAGACTGGATGGTGGGAAGACTCACTGTGTCGTGCAATGTAAACACATGACCGTTTTATGGGTGTCTGACTTGTGGGCGCCATCTCCCTTCGGTTGCGGTGTAGATACGACTTTCTCAGAGCCTGCTGGACTGTTAGAAAACAGAACCATCAGAAGGCGGCAGAGCCGAGCACAGCCCTAGTACAAGCTCGCTGCAAATAAAAACCAAGCACTCCGAACTACCTCAAGTTGTTGCGGCGAAAGGAATCTGTTTTTTTCTGTTTTTCTTTCAGTCTCTTTTACGTTCTTTCTTTGGAAAAGCTTCCAGCGTGGTCATATCAGGGAGAAGAGCTCCCCGCATCTCTGAACACGTGATATTTTACCCCAGCAGGAAAAAACACGGAAGAGACTAGAGGGAGTGTTTTGGCTGGCACTGGTGCCCAACCAGCGAAGACACGAGCGTTGCGTCGGCGTTCGGACGACAGTCGGCCCGTCGACTTCTGTTGCTTGCACTTAACCTGATTCTATGGTTAGGTGCCAGCCATATAACACATTATGTGTTAAAAGTTTTATCTCTCAACAAACTAAAACTGAATTTCTACAGTTCCCAACGGAAGCTTTCCTTTGTTCTTCCTTACTTTGCCCAGTGCGACCGCAACAACTGACACGGACAGCATAAGAAAAGCATGGCGTGTCAACTCCCGAACAACTGATTATCGATTCGTAGCCAATAGAGAGTTTTGGCCTTTGGGGAACCGTCTTTGCACATCCGATACGGTACCATGGGCCCACTTGTAAGAAGTGAGCATACGCTACCACAGAAGACCCGCATATGCACACTTCATATCGGAGGGCCCATCCCACCCAGCGGACGTGCAAAGACGGTTCCCTAAAACTCTCTAATAAGAATGCGACATCAGCCGATAAGTACTCACAAATTCGTATCGCGAGGCAAGAAAAGAGAACGTAACATAAAACTTTTCGGTTCCACTTGGTTTGCGTGTCTCTGCCTTGATATACAGAGTCCCCCTTTTTAGGTTAACAAATTTGTTGAAAAAAAAGAAAGCCGTAAAGGCTACATTTATGCGGTGCGTTCTGGTGAGTTATACGGCTTGGGAAACATAGTATAGGTCTCTAATTGTAACGATCAGTCGGCTAATCTACTATAAATTGTTAATTAACCTTTTAATTAGCAAAAATGGACATTTGCTTTAGAGTAGAAATTTTCCTAGACTGATCGAAATCCATTGCATCAGTATTTATTAGAAAAACTTTGAGCGCGTGATAACCTGTAGTAGTGCCCTAAGGTTACCACTCGCACAGCAGGGGCAAGGTTACGGCTGTGATAACGCGCCCGCACGATTTTCTTGTCGCTTATCATAGCCCCAGCCTTGTGCCTGTTCCACGAGTTGTACCTCTAGCGCACTACTCTGCACCCCACGCACTGAAAGTGTATCTAAACGATTGATTGCGGGGTTTTTGATAACGCTCAGCAAGTTTGTAATTGTAATCATACGACTATTTTCACTAATTAGAAAGTAAATATAACCGATTTTACTAAACTAGCCAGCTGATTGTTACGATTATTCCTACTCACTGTATCTCTCTGCTTTCTTTTACAAACCTTATCAATGTCAATTTCACAGCCTTTTCAACAAATCTCTTAAGCTTAAATAAACACCCTGTAGGTTATTTCTATCTAAAGTCGCACAAGACTAGGGCCCCAATGTAAGTAAAACTGCGTTTCTGCTCTCGTGTTTTCCTGCTGCGCCAGATTTTTTAAATTGTTATAAAGCGTTCATGCCTGGATCAGGCGGGCACATTAACGGCCTTAAGAACAAATTTCTTTAAAGGGTCGGCCAACCAGCGCACGCCGAAAAGCGCAAGACCGCTACCTGATTCACCGATTCTTTAAAAGAGTTAGTTCGGAAGACCTTTGTTGTGTCCCTCGGACTGCTGTATAAGTTATTAAGCACTCCGGCTCTCCGATTGAAGGGTGTCTTAGTTGGCAGTTTACCCACTGCATTGCATACACAAATAAAATGCCCCCAAATAAGCATAAATGTGTTCCACTCAACATAGTGCTGTAGTAATCGAAAAAAACACGGTTTTCTCATGTTTTGTTTTGCATGTAGACCCGTATTACACGCATTTTACAGGTCTCCTCAGTGTATATCCAAAATTATGAGGTGACCATGATTATTCTAATAACGTTTGTAACACTAGGATGCCCAGACGTTTGAAAAATATATGACATACACAGCAGGCTCTTTGATGGAAAGACTCACGCAAACCTTTTGAACTGAATTAAGGGTTTCAGTTCTGTTTTAATGTGTTCGCTATTTTTTTTATTTTTTCAACTTCATTATACCAGTTTTGTGCACATGTCCTTTTCGCTGCATTTGGAGCTGTATTTTTTCTGAAGTTTAATGCGCTTATTTAACGTCGCGAAACAGACCAGTTTTACCTGTTCTGTTATACACGTTTGCGATCGTATAATAAGCTAGTAGACAGGTACTTGTCTTCACTGAAGACAAGCAAACGCAGCACTATTTTTAACATTTTGCGTCTCACTGCAAGTTCTTCCTCTTGCGTTTCTTCGTGCCAACGGAGGCTTAGACACCGGCTTTACGGAGTTGACAGTCACGATAGAATAATTCCGAAACCATTTCTAGCTCCGCGACCTCTCAGTGTCAGGAAAACGAAATGGCTGTAGTGGTCGTAGGAATGGAAAGGGGAATGAAATTAGATACCTTTTACCCGGAATAAAGTTGTCTGGCGACCTGTCCCCATAATTTTGCAGTTGTTTATGCCCTTGTTAATGTCAGCTTCACGCTGCTTTCGCCGGCAACATGGTGTAGCTGCCCAAAGCAATTTTTCACGTTCAAGAATTGGAGAAAACAAAATCAGGAGGTTCTGCCATTCCACTAGTGGGGATAGTGTCTCTATTCTTATGAGCTGGAAGCAATTGACATATTAAAAGCTCCACTTCCCCAAAATAGTGTTGGGATAAGATAGAAGCGTTTACTCCCCAATACTGTTAGAAACCAAGCGGGATTCGTTTCGTCTTCTCAGATTATATCCCCCCTGTTATTTTTCTAAAGAACGAAGCGCGTGAGGTACAGATCATACAAAAGAAAATAGTGAAGTAGAAAAAAAAAAAAACGAAGTCATGTTTTAGTTTTTCAGTTCTACGGGATCGTCACATTTCGTTCTAAAAATATATATTGGATTTGGTGGCTCTGGCTTATCTTCGCTTGCCCAACGTTGCAAAAGCCGTTTCGTCCTAAAAATAAAAAAATAAAAATAAAACATTTTTGTCCAGCTATATTTGCGGAAATTTCGTCTGGTCACTCTCCCCAGCAATACAATATGCAGCGTCATTATATGCGGTGCAAGTCTTCATTCTGCTGCAAGCGAACTGCAAGCCAAAGCAAACACCTCAAGCAAGCTGAGATAACAAGGATGTCGGGGCCGCTTTCCAGGCCTCTGAGTGACTCTACATGCAATCTTGCTTTGCGTAATTGTTTTTTTTTTTTCTTTCTTTGAAGGTGGGCGTTGTAGGAAGAACAGGAGCTGGCAAGTCGTCCCTGGTGCTCGCGCTCCTCCGGGTACTGAAGAGCACGCGGGGAAGCATCCGCATCGACGGCGTCGACATCAACGCGGTGCCGCTGAGGAGGCTCAGGAACGCGGTCACCGTGATACCTCAGGTAAAGTGTCCAGGTGTCCTCTAGTGGCGCGAGAGGTTTCAGTTGGCGTACTTCGGGTTGGATATGTTGCCGGACTCCATGGAGATGAACTGTTGCCACATGTCTTTCTATTCGTGGAAAACGTGCCTTCTTCATTTCATTTATTATGTTTCTCAGGGCTCGAAGGCATTACAGAGAGGAGTGGGGCACATTAAATGGCACAAAGCAAATAACAATGAAAAGGCGAAAAATACACAAAACAACTACTAAAACATCATTTAACACGTTAGTAATGGCACAGTACATGGCATAAAACAAATATCAGTAAAAAGGCAAAAATACAAAAAAATTTACTACTAGATATTATGTAACAGGTTAGTAACGGCAATCTTAAATTTATCCGAGGCAGTGATTGTGACAATGGCTGCGGAGAGGCGGTTCCAGTCAATCGAGGTTTGAGGCAAAACGGAGGCATTAAACGAAGATGTGCTGCAATGAGGGATCCCAACTTTTAATTGATGATCGATGCGTGATGATACGTAAAATGGTTCAGAAAATAGTGCTTGGCGGACTGTAGGGTTAGAGTGATAAATATCATGAAAAAGCTTAGATGGAATATGTATCGACGAAGAGAAAGAGTGGGCAAATATAGAGATGCTTTCATTTAAGTGGTACTAGCTGTGCGGTGATAGTTAGGATGTCGGGCGGGGTGGTGTTGAATTGATTCTACGGCCGATGAAAGGGTGATAAGAGGGGTCCAGATCGAGTCGGCATATTCAAGCTTAGGGCGAATTAAGGTTTTGTAAATAAGAAGCGTTAATGAAAGTTGGGGCAAGAAAAAAGTTTCTTTTGCTGTTTCCTAATAATTGGATATCGTTTTTCGTGACTAGTCGGCATGAATGTTCCAGGACAGATAATTTGAAATGTGAACACCGTGAACTTTATAGGAGGACACAGGAAGGAGGGTAGAGTTATTGATGGGAGTAGGACGGGCAAATGTTAATTTGATGAGAGACACACGTGGATTTACATTAAGAGATATTAAGTTCCTTAAGCCAGTCGTTGCACCATTGGGTTCTATTATTAATATCGGTCTGAAGAGCAGAGATGTCAGAGTCGTTAAGGATTTCTTTGTAAATAACACACTCGTCAGCAAAAAGGCTAATAGATAAGGCGACACGGGTAGGGAGGTCATTAATATAAATACGATATAGTAGTGGACCGAGTAATGGTGGCTCTATATTATACATCGATGCAAGGAAGTGTCAAACATTCCAATTGGGAGAATCCAGCGTTTAAGGTAATCTGTCCTCACTGATTCTAACACATAAGAGCGTGTTGAGAATTGCTAAATTATTAAAACACCTGCAGAAACAGGATGTTTCATCAGCGACTAACTATAATTAAACTTGGAAACACTTAAAATTAAAAAAAAAAAAATTGATTTTTTTCTGAATAACTTGACCGTCCCGAGGAGCGGCCGATAGGAAGTGTAAATTAGGAATATAAATAATTGCCTAGATATACTATTTAACTTTAGGAATAATATTTCACGTTAGCTGGCACAATTCAATGAGAGATATGTTATTTTGAGTAAAAATACGCCTTTGGTTTATTAGTATTTTGAGAACTAAACTCGCTGAGGGCTATTCTTTGGCAAATGTAAGCCGTGATAAGAGTGAGGTGCCGAAAATTTACGCCGGAGACCGTCGGAGACCCGCAAGCGACAAGGAAGCGTCAATAGCGAGTCATCCCAAGTCGATATGACAGCATCGGGGTTTGTTTGGATCGCGCGGTCGCAGAGAGGCCGTGCTGCTCTCCATAGTACGCCACTTTGGGTTTTTTTTTTTTTGTTTTGTAACAGTTTCGCTGTGGTTGGTTCTAGTTTGGTGAAATTTACCATCGATTAGTTGTTGAGGTGAATTTAGTTGTCTGAATTCTAAATATATTCCTGGCGTATTTTAACCGCGGGAAAAAATTCTAAATGAAATGTGCAGGTAATTCTATCTAGCGGCCTGTGTAGATAGTGCTGAGTTACTGATATTTGCTGATGACATCAAGCTTTTTATGAGTGTAAAGGATCTGGTTGACTGAAGTGTTCTGCAACATGATGTCGTACGTGTCGTCCAGTGGTGGTCAGCGAATAGCTTAACACTGACTCTCTTGAAAACAAATGTATTCACTTTCTGCAGGCGTCGCAGTATATAGTACATTATGATTACATTTTAGATGGAGTGACAGTAAAGCGTGCATCTGTTGTAAAACACCTTGGCGTGCATCTGGGTAATGCATTCCAGTTTACTGCTCACGTGTCTTTTATTGTTGGTAGGGCGACGAAAATGTTAAGTTCATATGCCGCATTACTAAGACATTCAAAAACCCGGCCTCGATTATTCGTTTATTTTATGCCCTAGTTAGGTCTAGGCTTGAGTTCAGTTCTGTGACCTGGAATGCGTTTTCAAGAACACAACCAATGACCATTGAAAATGTGCAACACAAACTAATACGTATTGTTTATGATCGCTATTTCCAACGCCGTTTATATTTTGACTACACTTTTCTGCGTAATAAGATTTCGTTGAAACCGTTGACCAATAGAAGAGCAGAGCGCGACTTGGTTTTTTTTGCACAAAATTGTAAATAGGGTATTTGACAGTGCTTAGCTTTTACGTGATGTAAATATTCATGTCCCCCCTCGTTCCACAAGGACCCGCACTACTTTCAGCATTCACACCATCTGTAAACCATCTCCTCTGTCACGGATACAATCTATGTTTATCAATATTGAAAATGCAGACCTTGATATATACAGTGACATTAAGGTGTTCAGGAACCAGGTGAAAGTGCTTGTAGCCGAACTGTAAATATTATGTGTTTGTTCCTTTGTGTTTGAAACCTGCAATTGTGTTTTTCTTTTTCGTTTTCTGTTCATATTTATATATTTGCGCACCAAATAGGAGACCTGCATAGTTGTTTTTTGGCACGTAAAATAAACTAAATTAAAATAAATCATTTCCAATGTGATTTCTCAAATAGTTCGTGATTAGTTTTGATCACGATTTTACACTTTCTACTTGAAGTAACTTGTTGCCATAATTTCATCTGAAATAAATACTTTATTTGCACTGACTTGAAAACGTTATTATTTGCAGTGACCTAAAAACGTGTATGTCGTCTGTATGTCTATGTGCGTGTTTGTTTGATTTTCGGCCTTTTCTGATTTCGCTTCTAAACCAAAAAGCCGCTTGCCTAGTTCCTGCCTCCTAAATAAGGTTTTGTTTTTTTTTTGTTTTTTTTACGTCTTAAAACAGGACCCAAGCCTAGTGCGAGGCAGCCTTCGAGACAACCTGGATCGTACTGGGAGCCACACAGACGAAGAACTTTGGGGAGTTCTACGAGAAGCTCACCTGGCGGATTTCGTCACCTCGCAGCCCAAGGGGCTTTCCCTCGAAGTGGGCGACGGAGGCTCAAATCTCAGGTCAGTCCGTCACATTTTGATTATAGATGACATATGGACACTTTCTCGTGGCTCTGTGATCATGCGAATGTGCCCGTTGCTTTTATTTATTTTATACTTTTGTAGAAGGAACGTTTAAAATAAACTTGGAATTCATGTCACCGTTGCTACACTCTAAGAAAAAGGGGGTGTACACGGGTACTCCCCTTGTCCCATATGTAACTTTCCAAAACTACATTTCGTCGTTCTGTTCACTGACGTCGAGCTGTTCAACGTTGAGTCCGGAGGGTTTCCCGATTTATGCTTCTAAAGTGTTAGCTATTTCAATTCGTTGGTAAGTTGTCTTCACAACCGAGTTGTTTCTGAAACAATGCCAACCGCTACGATATTTTGTTCTAGGTATCTGTTTCTCGCGTTAGTAACTATGTCCCGACATTGATGACCTCAAACAAACCATCAAGTACTTTAAACCCCAGGCGTTAATGGATAGGTTTAGTTTGGCTTGCACTACGCCTGACTTCAATTACGTCTTCAAGAACGTTGGTCTAGTATGCTGGTCACACGACGCTGAAATAGACTTCAAGGACTTTGAGGTGGTGGACAGGAAGTCGTTATATTTGCTTGGTGACAAGCGGATGAATAATTGTGGTTTTAGTCACCAACATTACCCTCTGTGATGCATGACGAGAGTCTTGCCAACTATTCTGCAGTGCTGGACAGAGGCAACTAGTGTGCCTGGCCAGGGCGCTAATCCGGATGCCGAAGGTGCTCCTCTTGGACGAAGCCACGTCCCAGATGGACGGGGACACAGACCGCTTGATCCAGGCGACGCTGAGAGAAAGCTTTGCCGGATGCACCCTCCTGGCTATAGCACACCGTATCAACACCGTTCTGGACTACGACAAGTGCGTGATTTTTACAGTCTATATATACGCAGCTCTCCGTATTTTAAGCAAAATGTCCCGAAGTGATGTTTTACTTCAGTCACTGGACAAGTGAAAATGACTGTTGGGAGCCTCATTTGTCCTTCGTCAAGCCCAAGCTTCCAACCTTCCACGACCTTTCAGCGTCTCGTGCATTTTGAGCGCGCCCGCACCCAAAGTAAGGTTGAAATCATACAAATAACTACGCGTGCAAGATGTCGGGCCTTCGAAAGAAGCACCCCAGGCGTTTTCATTCTGCCAGTGACTCTAGATCGTTAGTAGACGCAGCCTGTACCCTGCCAAAACACAAATTTGTCGCATATTTTTCAGGATCCTGGTGATGGGGGACGGGGGAGTTCTCGAATACGGCCCGGTGGACCAGCTTCTAGGCAACGATAATTCGCTGTTCAAAGAAATGGCAAGAAAAGCAGGGGCCATAAAAAATATCACACATTTCTAAATTAAGCGGTCATCAAAAAACTTTAAACGTCTTTCCCGGATAGCGAAACTACGGAACAGCCCACAATGTGTCGATATGCTCAAGATTTCCTAACTTACATTTTTTGATCGCAGAATACAACTCACTTCTGGTGTTTGGGGAACAATCTAATAGATGTGCCCCTTGTGTTTCAGTCTGCATTTATAAATTCAGGTGGTTTCTTGCGATGGTTGCGGATGTCAATTTTGGTTTCTGCGAAATGTCTCTGATAGAGTCCTGCTCCGTACTTATCGATGTATTACAACAGTGTTTCCGGACTCCTGTATGGCCGCTTTAGGCTCGTGGTAAGTAGTGTCAATGTCTAAATGGTTGATCCCCCCAGAATTTGAAAGTCAGTAGTCAAAAAGTTTTAAGCGACGCACTTTTTTTTTTTTTTTTCGTTTTTTTTTCGGTTTTTGAGGCAGCGGTGGAAGTATAAACTTCGGCGACGTACTACCGCGGTGAAAATTAATTACTAATTAACAGCGTGAGACCCCATTGGGTGTACCCAGTGCTCCCGACATTGGTGCTATATATCTAAGTTTTAAAAGGTGCCACTAGAAATTATTATTTGGAAAGGGCGACAATGATCTGTAGTTTCTTCAGAAATGACCCTCCAGTGGAGTGAACTCTACGGGTAGTATTACAACCAAGTTGGTTTGGTGCTCCCGTACAGATGTGCAGAGCTCATGTTGCAGGCTTCATTAAGTTTCGTGTAATCATTTTTTCAAGTTGTGTTCACTGTGTTCACCTTCACTTATTGTGAAAAACAACTAACCAGTTACACTCCGATCACTGAGACGATGACAGTGCGGTGAAACATACATGTTCGGTGGAGCTTAAGTCATCGGTGTTTTACCAAATTGCTTGATTGGAAAGGCTGATACAGCAGTGATGTTAAAGACTTTGTTGAAATTGAAATACCAAACGCTGTCACCAACGCCCGACGAGTTTTGTCGAGTAGCAGGAAAGAGCTACGCATTATGGTATCACGCAAAACGTGCACGGTGATGAAGCAGAAAACACTCTCAAGCTACTGGTTTCTCACTTCTTTTTGTATTACTGATGCTGTTTTTTGCGACTAAATAAAAGTGTGCCTTACGTACGTGGAGTGTTCGCATTTTTCGTCAGCCGCAGCCTCCAATCGAGCAGCGGAATTTAGGCGCACGATCCATTTAGGTGAAACAACGCGATTCATGTAGGTGACCCAAATAAAAAATGCAGTCATACACGTTTAGGCACCAAAGAAACATGCAAGAACGTGAACTTTATTCCGGAAACCTGAGTCAAAATGTGAAGTTTGTGACCTTTCAACAAACGCATTGCGGACAGATAGTATTTTCTTAATGTAAATGGAAAGCGGATTTTTCCCCTTTCAGTTGAGTAACTGAACTTTAGTACAAGCAGCTCTCCCCGCCCACTTAAAGAAGAAATAGCCGTTTATATTTATAAGAAAAGAAAATATCACGCAGCAAAAGACATGCGGAGCATAAGTTTGTCTGTTTCTAGCACAGGTGTTGCGAAAATGTCAGAACACCGAGCTCTCATTCGCTGATTAAAAAAAGAAATAGTTGGTAGACCTCTAGGCATCTAACTTTGAAGACTACCCACTACCATTCCAAGTCAAGCCAATCCGAGACCGGCGTCATTCTGGCGTCTCCGTAACCCTGCGCGGGAAGCAGACGACTTGCTCTCCGCATTCCTACGCACTCTTGGGGCCCTAATCTGGACACTTGGCGAAAAAGTCGGCGAGAAATACGGCGGCTGTGATTGGCCGGCGCCAAGGTCAAGTGCGGCGTCGGCCAATCACGGCCGCCAGATTTCTCGCCGTCGTTTTCGCAATGTGTCCAGATTAGGGCCCCTGGCCGGCGATTGCTCGCCTGCCTCGCGTGGCGCCATCTATCGTGTTCATTGCAGTGTGATTTCAGATAAGATCGACCAAAGGGTGGCTGGTCGACATTTTTAAATCAACTGATGTTTTTATATGACATTGTCTAGTGTCTGGTATGAACGAATCCACAATTAGTTTTGACCAGAAAAAAAATTTGGAGACAAGAAAAATCGTAAGGCAGGGAGAGGTGGACAGTTGCAATAACGCGCACTGATGGAGGGGGCAAGTTTGAAAGTGAATAATTAAAACAATAAAATTAGGAGAATTTTAACACTTTTTACAAACAAACTATGGGTACAACGTGCTTGTAATATAAAGTAATAATATTTATTAAAAATTTATTTAGTTTTCTAAAAATTGCCAAACATGCCTGCTCGAACGACAAATGGCAAACTTTGGAAATCTGTATCTCATGAAATAATTTAATCATTATTACATAACTTGTAGACATTATTTTACTAATATATGGCTATAATTGAAAAAATAAATAAGGTATCTGAGTGACATAATAGTTACAATATATTTAGGCAAACATGGGAAAAAAATCAAACAAAGAAAAATTCCAATGCGAATAAAAAAAAAACACCACCTTCGATTTTTTTTAAATTTGGGTACCCTGTTATACTCTATTTCGGCATTCATTTCTATTAAAAACATGTTGCATCATTGCACTGTGAAAGAAGAAACAACTCCCCAAAGTAGGGTCCTTTTTCAAAGCCTACACTTAGCAGTGTCCTATACAAGAAGTGACTCTGAGTTCCAGTTTCATGAAACTTGCACAAATCTTTTATATACATTTATTCAGATGAGGTCATTGATAAAAAGAGCGATCGGTCACACAGTAAAAGGGAGGAGAAACTATATACAGCATTTTACATAAGCGTACAAAGTGGTATCATATTAGAGACTAATGATTTGAGAAAAGATGATGCAGTGTGAAGTTGTACCTTCCCGTATATTTTACATCTAGAGTAAAATAAATAACTTTACTTCCACAAACAAAAACAAAGATATAATAGTAAGATATTTAGGTTGGCTGTGTATTTACGATTACAAACAATTTCAGGTGACGGATGCCATAGTGCCTAACTGGAGCAGCTTCGATGCTCTCGGTGTATGAATGAATCGTGGCAAGCCGATATATTTTATCCTGCTCGATGATAACATTTTGGGATTTTTTTTATAGTGATCAGATACAAATTATTAGTAACCACCAACAAAAACAGTAGGTTAAATACCCCGTGAAGAAAAATGTGATAAATAAGATGTCCCTGCATTCAAAATGAGCAGTCCTTGGGAAATCAAATTCGGCACTTTACGCTAAGGTTTTCCTCGCTGTACCCATTTAATAAAGTTGCTTCCAAGCAGATCCGACTGTCCGTGCTACATATACGTCACAGGTCCCTTCTGTTGATTACTTGCTGAGCCGCCACGCGTGCCAAGACTGAATGCCAGGGAAGGCGCGCACCGTCAGCCACTCTTCTTTTTTTTGTTCACGATACCGAACAACCTCATTTTCGTCCAGATTTACAAGATGCACGCCTTTCAGTTTCTTTGATAGAACGCTCACCATTGTCCTGGCCGTCTGAATTGCGCTTACTGAACGTTCTCTCAGGTTGTTCAGCGTGGCCTGGTGCTTCACGAGTCCGCCAACTCCGTCACATGCATTTTTCCCATGTCCAGATGCAGAAAATAACCACTGGGCTTGTGGGCAATCGTCATTTGCAAATTGGTGAAGCTGGTAGCGATTCTTGAAATGACTGGCGGCGCCGTCACTTACGTACGTCACGTACGAGTATACCGCAACGTTGTCTTCAACCCACTCCTTCACTTTTTCTAGAGCCAAGCAAGCGTGAGCGGCGTCGTGACACAGGTCCTCACTGATGATGGCAAAGCTGTTTGTAGATTTTCTTGTCGTCACTACACATGTAAATTCACAAGGTCGCCGGACTCCCATGTTGCAAGCACAATCTCTTCATCCTCCGGGATATCAAGTTCCTGGAGTGTAAGAAACTGGCCTTTTGGGCAGTGATCACAGTCTCCTTGAAGGCACAGTTCTGTTGCTGGGTCGCACAGAAATGCCGAGTTCATTTCACCAGTGTTGAATGTTGAGCCTGTAACGTTCTCTAGAGCGGCAATACAAAGATAATAATTGGCGCAGCGCACACAAACGCACACTTCCTGGTGTGGAATACATTGGACCCATCTAGGGCGCAACGAATAAAATTTCGTTAGCCCAACGCCGGAATCGGGATGCTGGTCTTTGTATATACGGAAGGCCTCTCGTATTGAGCGTGTCATGAAGCGCTTTCGCACGAACGTTTTCTCTCCGTTGAGCACGACAGAGATGACGTCCTTCTGGTTGGGACTTAGGCGCGAACATTGTAGCTCGTCTTTCGTGAAGTACTCTAGGGCAGCAGACAGGTTCTCAGGGCTCACCTTGCACCTCGTGTAAGGATCCGGCTCATACCACACGCCATGCTTTTCCTTGAGTTTTCGGGATTTACTGATGAGGTACATTGAGGCCTGTGGAATCATCTTTTGAACCTCATTCTTCGTCAGTGTTGACGGCAGGAGTGTAAGCAGTTGCCAACGTTCCCGGAGAGAGGTGGCGGTTTCAAAGGCCTGCCGAAAGTTGTCCACCCACTCAGTACATGTGGAGCATGTTGGTTCGGGCGACCCCGATGGTGCGTCCCTGTCGTACGCAATACGTAGCCTTGAGCGTATATTCTTGACAGCAACCTGCTCCAGTTCTGTCTGCTTTCTCTTGACATAGGCAGGCCTGTCCCGACTTCTTACGACGCTTGGTTGTCTCAGCGGCGACACATCTGTAGGTAGTATGCTGCGATTTAGATCTTCAATTGCTTCTTCAGCTGGCACAAATATGTCAGGGCACTGCTCTGAGCTTCGCATCGAGATCTCCTTAGTGATGTGCATGAAGCAATGGTAGCACAGGTAGTCCGTCGCACTCACTTTGGTGGAACAGTCAGGCGGAAGAATTTGCTTCAACGAGTTTAGGTCCAACTCGCCAACACTTCGAAAATTCCGCTGCTTTGGTATAGTCTTTTTGTGTTTGCAAAAGTAATCTGCA